TGTAACCGCATGGCTTCCAAGGTACCCGCTTTTCCATCCTTCAAGTAGGAGTCTTTCCGACCTGACATCGCGCAGTTATCTTAACTAGTAGAGTCTTTTAATATTTAGGCTGAGTTTTAAGAAATTTGTAGTGGCAATAATATTCACCAAACCGAACCTAATTAACGACCCTGAATCCCTTGAGATTGGCACTATTGCAGTAGTTATTATAATATCGTAATTGTTAACTATATAGGAGCATACGAGATAAAAATAAATTGTGTCAATTGAGAGGGAGCTGTTTTATTTACATTTTCTAATTTCACACAAGGAACGGTAACTTATATAAATTTCTGCAAGCCGGACAACCTCTTTTTCACGTGCAGACTATTCACCATCTTCTCAGTCTGCACCGGTGGCGGTTCAATTCCAGTCACCAAGCCGCCAGGAAAAAATCCTTTCTTGCAGTACCTTCCTCGGATATTTTTTCCGCTGACTTTACGCTTAGATCTTTTAAACTTCGCAAAAGATTTTACTGTAGTTTTCAGCAATAGATAGAGTGATTTAGGAGGAAGGTTTACATATTAACAGCCACGTAAATCCGAAGTAAGCCATGCGTTGCAGTTTTTATTTTCATTCGTATTTTGAGGACTTTCACAACGGGGTCCTTCACTGCTTAGCCTACTTATCATCTTTCAGTGTGTGGTCGCCACTTGAAACATTTCTACCCCAACGGCGAGCTATGTGCTATATTATTTACCTACTTAGGTAAGTACCTAATCGTTATAATTATATTTTTTTGTGATAAATAGGTTCGTTAAATGCAAAGATTACCATTACATTTAGATACATCTCAATTTAAAAGAGAGGGACGGAGCCTAAGTAGGTACTCATAAAAGCCTTTTTTTTTAAGAACAACCCTCATGGAAAGCTAAACATTATCTATGCATGCGTTACGTAACGAGTGGTTTCACTACAATAGTCAAGCGGCAACGGGGTTCGAACCCGCGTTTCTCGGATGGAGACTCTTTATTCAATAACTTTTATCTTTTATTAAAAATGTGTCAATATTATTTTCAGTTTTCAGTTTTAGATTGACGCGGGTTCGAACCTCTGCAACTTTTGAGAGATTTTATCGGTCCACCTTGTGGTTGAACGTGGCCTTGGCCCCTTTCGATCCTACTTACTTCGATTCCCCCCTACGTGGCCCTTTTTGAAAATATTTCTGCCTTTCTGCCATTAGTTCTAAGACCTATAATATGCCATCGCCATTAACAACGTTTCTTTGTTTACAAATCTCTTTACTTCGATTTCGTTAGTTAATTAACTACTCTACGTATTGAAACATTATATTTTCAGAATAAAGGTAGACGAATTAATGTAACCGATGACGATATGAATTTAAGTGTTGGCTTTCAGAAAGAACAGTCTTTAGCAGCTTCCACTCATTAAGATTCCATCGAACAGACTGGAAGGTAGGTTTGTTATTAAGTATTTTACAGGATGAATGGAGGTAATGATAGGAAATTAAAAGTTATCAGTTATGGACATTGATATACTATATTTACAAAACTTAACAAAAACATTATCAAGAATCAACATCTAGTATCACAGATCGAGAGGTAGTTATTTAATGGTGCGAGTGGTGGTGCTCGGGGACGATGTGTTGGGCGTGGCCTTCGTGCTTCACGATGGCGTTGAATCTGTAAAAGAAAGACAATTTGAATTGATAAAATCATTTTTTTTTCCGTGAGGTAAATTGTCAGCTCATGTCCACTAATTACGTTCATGGACTGGCGGTGTAAATTGAAGAGATTCGACATTAATTGGTACCTATATTGGTTCTTAGATTCTATCAACAAAATTCTTTTGAGTGAAATATTTTACTTACCCACTGTGTTTGTCAGCGGTGTACTCGACGATGCGCACGGTGCCGTCGGCTTCGTGCAGGCTGTAGACGCCCTTCACCTGGTCGCCCTTGCGGGTCTCGTGGTGGTACTTGTTGTCGTGCGTGTGCGGGTCCTGCACCTTGTACTCGTAGGAGTAGTGGGGCTCCGCCTGCAACAGGACATACGTTATACTGGACGCAATAGCGAATGCGCGAGTCGAGGCGAAAGTAGCAAGCGTTTTACACATGAATCGCAAAGTGCGCATGTCCATATGGACGGAATGTATGAGATTCTAGTATTTGACAATCGCGTGTTTATCTGGAAAAGCTCTTACGTAGTAGTCGACGTGGTGCTCCTCGTGGCCATGGCTCTGCTGCGCTTGGTGGCCGTGGCTCTGTGCCTGGTGGCCGTGACTTTGCTCCTGGTGGCCATGGCTCTGCGCCTCGTGGCCGTGGCTCTGGTGCAGCACGATGCTCTGCGAGGAGTACGCGTGCCCGTGCTCGTGCCCGCCCTGAGGCCGCGCCGCAGCGATGGCAAGGGCTGCCGCAACGATGACGATCTGCGACAAATGTTTTTTTCAGATTGGGGTCGTAATTTTAAGGCCACTACTTTCAAAACTTATTTTTTACTCAAACTTCTTTTTAAATCTATTGTGTATTATAGAGTTAAAAGCTGAAACTGTACTGCCAGGTTTTCCAGGAAAGTTAACTGTGTAGCTTACAAACGAAAATTAAAGAAAGAACCAATCTGTAGGTAAGTTAGTTTAACTAATTGAGAAAGATACACTTATTATTGCTAATTACCTTGGAGTACATGTTTTTTTTCTTTGTGTTGTTAACTCAACAAAAGCTGTAAGCTAAATGATAATGATTTGTTTATTTGCGTTTCTTTTATAGTTCGAAAACGAAATTCGTTACCAATAATTTTGTTAAGACAAGAAAGTGGTTTGACAGAGGTTAAACCGGTTTTATGGACTGATTTGTGGACATGTAAGTGTGAATATGTCCTTGAAAATCAAGTTACATACTTAATCGCTGCAAGTGTAAGCTCTCTTTTGACTTAAGTATTACCTTACAAACATTATTATCATAACGTTAACTTTGGGTAACTTTGAAATTTTTAAATGTACCTACCTACGTTATGCATTAATTTTTTACTGTTCAAAGTTACCCTGAAAATTTATACTACTGGCCTAATAATCAACGACCCGGCTATGATAAACATCCTTTTACCCGTTTCACTTTAGATAGATAGAGAGTATTTATTTGTCTCAAAAAAGGTTAAATTAACAATTTCATTTTACCAATGCAATAGGGATGTTTCCTGGGTAAAAAAAGCAAGAGTTTGACTTAGTCCATCAAATAAGTTATATCAAAAAATACTCGACTCTTATTTCAACTTTTTCAAAATAATGAAAATTGAAAGATATAGGTAAAGGGCGCCAAAGTTCAGAAGAAGAGGCCCGTGATTTCAAGGAGTGCTTAAAAGTGTAGCCGATTATCTAAACCTTGTTAAAATGGGTAACTGAATAAAGCTGACTGAGTCGGTGTCATCTTTTTTGAAAATTATAAATAACTTGAAAAAATCGAACTGCCTAAGGCGGGAATTGAACCCACGACCTTCCGCTTGCCGGGCGACTGCTCTTCCAACTGAGCTACTTAGACACTGGATGAACCCGTCGAAGTTTTGAAGTTATTTATAATTTTCAAATTAGTATGAGATGCGACTCTTAACGCTAAAAATTTAATAACTCGGTGCCATCTTTTCAATACCTTTATAATTGTAGACCTTAAGGTTGACAAATAAAAAGCCGCTTAAATCCAGAGTATCTGTTGTTGTAAGTACCTACTTATCTAGTAACTTTAGCTTTATTGATGATCATATCTTCGCACTACCCTTGAGTTTTAGTAAAAATGTGGCACTATGCAGAAACCTCACGCAGAATTCTTGATATACCTACCTAATTTAAAAAGAAAACCATACAAAAAAACTAAACAAGACGCATTCACTTTCGCATGTAAGAAGTACAAAAGGTTAATTTGTTTTCGCTGATTCCCCAGAGTTTTTGAACAGAAGGAGGTTCTCAGTTTGACGCCTATTTATTAGTCTATTATAAGTTTGGCTAAACAGATTTAGATGTGGTTTTAAAAAAACAATTTGTAACATTTTGAAGAATCGAACTCTTCAGTTGAACTTTATTTTAGTTGGTTTTATTTTATCTTAATATATTTTTTTCTTGATTTTAGTAGACTTTATTGTTACCACTAAAGGTTGCCAGTACATTCTAGGGTGAGTTGCATCATCTTACTTGAACAGTAACTAATCATAGCTGGCGATTTTTGTATGGGGTTTGACAGATTTTTGATGTTTGTTAAAAGTTCGGTAAAACTAAAGTTGTGTAAGAAATCAGTTTTTTTTTTCACTAAAATTATATTTTATGACGACATAATATTTTTACTGTCGTTTTACTTACCTACTTAGTTACACCTCTGGTCACGAAATACATAGCTGTGCTGAAAACGTTCATCAAAAACTTGAGGCTTGGCGGCGAGATCAATAGCAAGGCTGAAGCTGCGGCATTCGTAAAGTTCCCTTTCGAAGTTAACTGCTCGCGTGACCTAAGTTGGGCAAAATTACAGTTCACGTCGATTGTGTTGTAAAACCTTTTTATTCATTTGAGACACCGGTGCTGCAGAAAATCATAAAAGAATAATTACTTATTATTAAATAAAGCATAGTGCCTTATTTAGATTATGTATTTGTGTTTGAAATTATTATTATTTATTTTTTAAATAAATAAACACACTCGTAATGGTCGACGTTAGATGAATATATAGTAATTCAGCAAATTATACTCGTATTTATCAGATCATAGTAATGATAGTGACATTCCTACTTCGAACAAAGCTGCACCGTTTTAGGTACCTAATTATATTTTAAATATTAAGTTGGGATGTCGTAGGAGTGTTTTACCTTTAATATTAAATAATAACGATGAGTGCTTGTATTTTCTTATGATTTATTTATATAAATTAAATACAATTATAACACAGATATTAGCTAGGTACTAGTATATTTACAAACTTAACAAATACTTAATTTTAATCACAATTCAATAGTTCTAATACTAGGCTAGTGGTGATCTTCTTCGCGTTTGACCACGGCGTTGAATCTGTAAAAAGAAAAGAAAAATTAAAAATAAAGAAAAGTGATAGAGTTTCTGACACCAATGTAGAACCTTTAACCTTTGACCTTCCATAGAACCGTCAATATTACTTAAGTAGAATATAATCCTTTATTCCTTTTCCATTTTAAGTCTCTTTTATCCCATTCCTCCCCACTGTCCTATTTTTAAGACACCACTAGCGGCCGCCCGCGACTTCGTACGCGTGGATTCCGTTTTACCCCCTTCATCTATCTTACGCGGTTTAGATTTTTTCATACAAATGTTTTTTCCCGCTAACTCCCGTTCCCGTGGGAATTTTGCAATATCCTGTTGTAACTAAGCTTTAAGTTTACTAAGGTACCTGCATACCAAATTTCAAGCGTCTAACTTAAGCGGTTTAGATTTTTCATACAAAAGGATTTTCCCGCTAATTCCCGTTCCCGTGGGAGTTTCGGGAATTCCTTTCTTAGTGCACCTCTACGGTACCTAAGCTACGTCCTTTCTAAATTTCAAGTGCCTACGTTTAGCCGTTTAGGCTGTGCGTTGATCTGTCAGTCAGTCAGTCAGTTTCTCCTTTTATATATTTAGATAGAAGATAGATATTCAACATTTTTTTTACACGAGCCCGTGCGCCTAGTCTGGACGCACCATTTTAATACTTACCCATTGTGAGGGTCGGCGGTGTACTCAACGATCCGTGTTTTGCCGTCAGCGTCGTGGAGGTGGTAGACGCCACTCACGGTGTCACCATCACGGGTCTCGTGCTGGAACTTGCTGTCTCCCGTGTGAGGGTCCACCACTTTGAACTCGTATGTGTACTTAGAATGCGCCAATCCGACCCCTTCACTATTCGTGGCGTCGTGGAGGTAGTAGACGCCACTCACGGTGTCTCCATCGCGGATCTCGTGCTGGAACTTGCTGTCTCCCGTGTAGGGGTCCACCACTTTGTACTCATATGTGTACTTAGAATGCGCCAGTCTGACCCCTTCACTGTTGGGCTGTAATGGCTAAGAGATACGTTCATAGAGTAATAATACTTACCCATTGTGAGGGTCGGCGGTGTACTCAACAATGCGAGTTTTGCCGTCGGCGTCGTGGAGGTAGTAGACGCCACTCACGGTGTCACCATCACGGGTCTCGTGCTGGAACTTGCTGTCTCCCGTGTGAGGGTCCACCACTTTGTACTCGTATGTGTACTTAGAATGCGCCAGTTTGACCCCTTCACTGTTGGGCTGTAATGGCTTAGAGATCCGTTCATAGAGTAATAATACTTACCCATTGTGAGGGTCGGCGGTGTACTCAACGATACGAGTTTTGCCGTCGGCGTCGTGGAGGTAGTAGACTCCACTCACGGTGTCACCATCACGGGTCTCGTGCTGGAACTTGCTGTCTCCCGTGTGAGGGTCCACCACTTTGTACTCGTATGTGTATTTGGGATGCGTCTGTGAAGGAAAGAACTACGTAAAACACTGACAGAGCAAGGTACATACGACAGCAAATCAAGCTAAACTATGTGGCATCTTAGTAATAAGTGCTATTTTGCAATAAAAATGGCTGAAATGCTGTAGTCTGTATAACGCAGAAAGAGGCAAATATATTAGTTTCATTTCCTGCATTCTTAATGGCGCAACTGAAAAAGTATTTCTCGTTGAAAATGTTAATTGCAAAGTTTTGCCTTTACTTATAAATCTGACACCAAATTATACCCTACTAGCTTTCCGCCCGCGGCTTCGCCCGCGTGGAATTTTGTCTGTCACAGAAAAACTTTATCGCGCGCGTCCCTGTTTCAAAAACCGGGATAAAAATTATCCTATGTTCTTTCCCGGGACTCAAACTATCTCTATGCCAAATTTCATCAAAATCGGTTGCGAGGTTTAAGCGGGAAAGCGTAACAGACAGACAGACAGACAGACAGAGTTACTTTCGCATTTATAATATTACTAGCGGCCGCCCGCGACTTCGTACGCGTGAATCCCGTTTTTCCCGCTAATTCCCGTTCCCGTGGGAATTCCGGAAATTCATTTCTTAGTGCACCTCTACGGTACCTAAGCTACGTCCCTTCCAAATTTCAAGTGCCTACGTTTAGCCATTTAGGCTGTGCGTTGATCTGTCAGTCAGTCAGTCAGTTTCTCCTTTTATATATTTAGATTAGGATATTAGGATAGGATTAGGATTAGGATATTAGGATATTAGGATAAGGATATTAGGATTAGGATTAGGATATTAGGATAAATACTAAGAACAAATAAACGTACGACCCTAACTTAAAAAAACACGGTAACTTTTTAACTCTCAGTGGTACAAACAACTCTTGTTGCTTTACGCTATAGTACATAGAAATAGCTGGAGTCTTGTTTTTATTTCATCGATTTATTTACCCCACTCTGCTCACTAATTGTTGACTCTTCTTTTAACACAAACCGATGGATTTATTAGATAAAAATAATAAACGAGATACTTACATAATGGCCAACGTGGTGGTCGTGTTCGTGGCCGTGGCCTTCTTGTGGGCGCGCCATCGCGACAGCGAGAGATGCGGCAAGTAAGGTCTACAAGATTATTAAAGAATTGGATACAGAATGTAAAGATTACATTCTATCTGACGCCCGTATTCACAAACATTACTATGAGGTCTTACAGTGCGCACAGGGTGACACACAAACCAATCACAGAGCTCTATTCAACACTGTGAGTTTGATTTGCTGCTTCACTTATACAAGCATGGTTTGTAAATACGGGCGTTAGATAGTCTCGTAATTTCCCAATACTGGAATTGTAAAATTGCAAGGTGCACGACGCCCACACCGGCGACATCAAGCAGCACCACGAGTCCCGCGACGGGCACAAGGTGGAGGGCGCCTACAGCCTGCACGAGCACGACGGCTCCGTGCGCACCGTCAAGTACCACGCCGACAAGAAGACCGGGTAAGACGATAAGCTAATAATCATGACTTACAGGCGAAAGCTGAAACAAAACAATATATTGTACTCTCGTAACTGTACTAGAATTTGTAGTAGTGGGATGTTTTGGTGACAATGGAATAATTATTTTTTTAATCCTGTATTAACCCAGCATCCTCAAAAGATTACACTGACATAAAGACAGTAAATTTGAAAATAATTAAAAGTCTTCAATAAAATTAGTATTAGTAAAATCTAATACAATTTTGTTATAATTTCAGATTCAACGCCGAAGTGAAGCACTCTACCAAACACGTTGAAGAGAAGAAGCACCATCACTAAATCGAACAAAATTACCTAGATGGACGTCGATGTAGTTTTAACTTATTTATTTTTGTTATTTAGTCTTTACTAATGACAGTAAAAAGTTTTAAATGAATATGTTCCTATTATTATTTATTCAAAATATTCAAAATCATCTCCAATCCAACGGATATGAATAAAACTGGTACATAGTGGAGTTGTAACAGAAGTTAGTCTTTTTCTCTGCACTTATGACTGACAGTTAGTAAGCTGACCACTTTATGCACTGTGTAGAGCCACAGAGCAACGGATTCGAAAAGTGGTCAGCTCTATAAACTGTCGTAGGCTTAAAGAAATTGACTTCGTCATAATTTAACTTACCTCTTTATCATCTCTCCTCTCGGTCTATGTAGTTGACTACAGTAAATAGTGTCCACTATTTGTACTGTGTTATGTACTATTCTAATTTGACTCAGAATCAATGAATTCTTGCTATGCTTAAGTGTAAGCGAAATCTATCTCGGTTTCATGAAAATTAATTTGTAAAGTTTGGTAAATTATAAAACATTACAAACTAAGTAAAACTACAAAATAATTAAGTATTTGAAATTAATAGACCTCAATTTTAAAATAAACTACAAATGTAAAAATAAAACAGTAGCACCTACAGAACTATGAATTGTAGGTACCTATAGCTATTAATTGTATTAGATAACGTGTAGTAAAATAAAAATTTACGTTATTTCGAGTGCAATTTATTAGTATAATGTAAGGGCTCATTCCCACGGTAATTCAGTTTTGCTTTGATTGTTGTGTGAACACATTTTGTATTTCAAATTCAGACAATGTAAACGGGATGTTCGAGTGAACGTCAATTGTATTAAACACGAATACCTACTACTAAACGGGATCCAGCAAAAAACAGTTCTTGCAAAAACGGAATGATCCATGGGAACAAGCCCTTAGTGAAACGTTGATATCAAAACTTTTAATAACTGCAAATGAATTAAGTAAGGCTCTATACTAAGACTTGAGCGACCCACATGTTTACTTAGCTACGTAAATAGGTACAATCCGTAAAGTATTGTAATTACCTAACTAGTTTGTCGGCCGTTTGGTGTAGTGGTTCAGCGTTCTGAACCACTAGTAGTCCGTTGACTACTATGCCGAGAGGTCCCGGGTTCGATTCCCGGCCGGGCAGAAATTGAAATGATGAATTTTAATTCTTCTGTAACGGGTCTGGGTGATAACTATGTTTATGTATGTATTTAAAAAAAAGTATATAAGTAGTATATCCGTTAAGCTAGCACCTATAACACAAGCATTAAGTTGCTTACTTTGGCGCTGGCGCTGTGTGAAATTGTCTAAAAATTTATTATTATTCAAATTGATAAAATTCGTCTTTTATTTGTAAGAAATAGATTATATAGAGTACTTTCATCCTGATCTGACAGGTTCTTTGTAATTTCTATGATGGTAATATCATTTAATAAAAATAAGCGTGTATTATTTCATGTTTTTTATTATATCATCAAAACTAAATAACAAAAATAAATATTACAAATAACATCAAAATCATTTTAAATGCTCGTCATTGTTTTCAATTTAGTGGTGGTGTTTCTCTTCAACGTGTTTGGTGGTGTGCTTCACTTCAGCGTTGAATCTGGAATTAAAATAAATATTGATTTGGCTAAGAGCTTTTTGCTGCTTACATAATCTGAATATTGTAGGTAAGTTCTATTCTATATAGGTTATTATTATTCTTATTCTATATAGATTCAACAACTTTTTGAACTTGAAAACTATAGTTCCCTTAAATTCAATCAATACAAGAATTATATTCAGCGTGCTTCATTGTTTAAGCGTTCGCCTGAAATTGATGAATTGTCGTCTTACCCGGTCTTCTTGTCAGCGTGGTACTTGACGGTGCGCACGGAGCCGTCGTGCTCGTGCAGGCTGTAGGCGCCCTCCACCTTGTGCCCGTCGCGGGACTCGTGGTGCTGCTTGATGTCGCCGGTGTGGGAATCATGCACTTTGTAGTCGAACTCGTACTTTGCGGGGCCCTGCGATAGAAAATGTTGTTAATAATGTTCAATTTTGTACCCAATAAATAAAATCTCAAAAAATGAGGTGCTATCATAAAAATACAAATATGAAACTTACATCGTATTTGTGGAAGTCCTTAGGAGGATGAGAGGGCACGTCGTGGCGCTCAATGTGGGTGTAGGAGATGGCTGGTTTATGAGAGTGCTTGTGCTCGGCCTCCTGTTTGTGTTCCTCGTGCTTCACTGCGTGCTTCACCTCGTGATTCACTTCGTGCTTGTGTTCCACATGCTTCGGTTCTTCATGCTTGTACTCTTCATGTTTGTGCTCTTCATGCTTGGGCGCTTCGTGTTTGTACTCGTGCTTGACTTCATGCTTTATTTGGGTGGAGTAATGGTGGGCAGCGTTGCAAACACCTACAAAGGCGATCACGGCAATGACCTGCAATGGAAATGAAGATTTATTGAAAACTGAAAAGCTGGAAGATGTGTAGAAACGTATAAAGCACTATTAATAAATCTACAATGAAAACAATGGTTATTTATGGTGATCTGAACTAAATTAATATAAAATAATTTAGTACCTTAACGAAATACATTTTTGCAGTTGTTGTTGGACTGAACAGTGTAACTAAACTGATACTGTCAATGCGATTTGTCCCCAATTTATACAACTTAATCCCAAAGTGTCAAGTAAAAATAATATATTATGGAGCCGGTATTATTTACTTTTACCCAAAATTTTGGACACGAAGGTCACTTACTTTCATTCGACCATAATTTTAAGTTATGCGTACCTATAAGTTTCATGAAAGTCGATATTTGCTTTTATGAAATTATCAATTAGCAAAGCTTGACTGAACCATGCGACCAAGTTATAGCCATTGCAAAATGGCCGTTATCGAAAATCCTAAGCCTAAGTTTTAATTAATTGCTTCATCGGCGCATAATTTGAGTTTATTGAAATACTAGTTGACCCCGCGAACTTCGCACCTAGCAGTTAGTGAGTGTCGTATTCTTAGAAGAGATAGGCAAGCTAGATGGCAGAGATCCAAACCTAAGTCCTGTGAATTCTCGATAGTTGCAAAGATGAATCCAAACAATAAGAGATGATTCATCAGAAACGATGACTCAGGAGAAAAAGTGTAATTGAAAAGAAAATGAAAGTGTCGTTGTCCATTTTCCTAAGAATAAATGAAAACTTATTTCAGAAAAGCTCAACACTTAGGAACTATTGTGATTTATTTCTTCTTTAATAGCTTTTGCCCGCGGCTTCACCCGCGTGAAATTTAGTGTCACTGATCGGCATAAATTATAGCCTATATGTTAATCTGGGTTACAAACAATAATACTGTAAAGTTTCAACAAAATCCGTTCAGTCATTTTTGCGTGAAAGAGTAACAAACATTCAGACATCCAGATATCCTGACATCCAAACTTTCGCATTTATAATAATTATTATTATATATTATATTAATATTAAGTAGGATCATTGGGTATTCTCTGCCAGTTAAGCAGCTTAACTGGTAGAGAATACCCAATGATTAAAGAAACAAGCTAAAGCCTAAAGCTGCTTTAGGCTAAACAGGATATCCAGTGTTTCTTATTATCCCTTGCACTGTAACTTTAGTTTTTTTTACTTAAGTAAAATGATCCTTATCTAGGTATTTACATTGTTATCATCTTTGGAAACGACAAATATTATACCGTCATACAGCAACTATTTAAGTAATATCCCTCGAAGACATGACAAAATAAATAAAACTATTGTGTATGAATGCAACCAAACCTATCCACGTCAATAGTATACTTCTTGCAACTCACGAAGGCGAGTGAGCTTTACTTGTGTGTGTTGTGGTGTGTACGTGTACATGCACATAACGATAGTGTAATGTCTATCAAAACTTTTGAAAAACTAACAGTAGCGGGCCACTATTGTACATTGTGTATTGCAACAACTATACTATATTAGATTTTCAAGATGTCCAAAGCTGTAATATTTGCTCAGCAACAGACGGGCTTGTCTTCTTGCAACGCATTTCCGCAATATCCAGTCCAATAATGGTTTCATATTCAAAAAAACTTAACATTTTAATGATTAAAGGTTCTGCCAATTAATTACTTGACTTTTATTATTAAACCTAAACAACTGGACATTTTGAAAACTTGACATTTAGCGAAGTTGACAATTTGCGCATTTGACACATGTAAAGCCCACTCGCCTTTGTGTATTGCAACAACTATACTATATTAGATTTTCAAGATGTCCAAAGCTGTAATATTTGCTCAGCAACAGACGGGCTTGTCTTCTTGCAACGCATTTCCGCAATATCCAGTCCAATAATGGTTTCATATTCAAAAAAACTTAACATTTTAATGATTAAAGGTTCTGCCAATTAATTACTTGACTTTTATTATTAAACCTAAACAACTGGACATTTTGAAAACTTGACATTTAGCGAAGTTGACAATTTGCGTATTTGACATTATGCGAATATGCGAATTTTACAATTTGCGAATTTGGCAGATTGCGATCGCTTGACAATTTGCGAATTTGACAATTTGCAAAGGATGCTCGACACTGCCATCGCTTTTATTTATTTCAGGAGACGCCACTGTGTCTGTAGTGAATATAAACGAAAGGTCACTCTTATTCAGGGTGCCTTATTGGTTTGAACTCGCTGGAAGTTAGAAGGTCTATGCAACAAATTATTTTTGTCCTCAAGCCTGCTGCGCACTACAGCGTAACTTACGCCTGTATTCATAAACATTACTATGAGGTCTCATAGTGTGCGTCGACGCACAGGGTCACATACGTACGAACCAATCACAGAGCTCTATGAACGCTGTGCGTTCGATTTTATACTTCACTTAAGCAAGTTTCGTTTGTGAATATTATGGGTGTTAATGTCTGGTCTACTCATTGATTACTACTGCTGTTTGCACCCATACTTGGACTAGACTTGATTGTCTAGCCATTTTATTTTGTTTTTCTTTGATACTTTTACTACGTTTGAATGAATATTTGGAGCAATTTCTAAGTATGAAAGGAAGTAGGTACAGTCGCGGAATGAAAAGGTTCGTCACCTTAGTGTCGGTTTTCGCTTGCACTAGGAACTGTAAGAGTCAAACCTGCCAACATAACAGTGCAAGAAACAGTGCTGCTAACATTAAAATAAATATGACGTTTGCTAACGAATAAGGTTTTGCTTGTTTATTTTTCTATCCGTCAGTGCAATGTTAAAATGTAGTTTTTTTTATTTAATAGATAATGGCAGGTTGAACCAACAAAAAGGTTTTAGTTTATCAATCATAATAATCTTCTTGACAAGTTAAATCGTCGAACAACTTTGATCTGAATAATTTTGAACCTTACTGACGAACAGTTAAAGATTATTTTCTCTAACTCGAGATTATTCTGTAACATAGTTTCAAAAGGTAAATTATGTGCTCGCGATTCGTTGAAGGAATCAATTTGTAAACTGACGAACCTTTTCATTCCGTGACTGTACCTAATATAAGGATGATAATCGGATAAAATTTATTAATACCCAATCTATATTATTTTGTATATTATTTTGAAATATTTTCTCATTTGTCGGACGAATTATCCCACAATTTTCAATGATAGTTGCAACTTCTCCTTTGTGGATGTTGTTACATTTCAGTAGTCGATCCTAAAAGCTACTATGTAATAATGACATAGTATTAATTTAAAATGTTATTAAACGACTGATGCAACCAGAACTATAGTATATTTATGGGTAGGTAGTAAAATTAAATTAAGGACAATAAATATTTTTCGAATAATTTTAAAGTTTTTATGTATCATACACAAGGTAGGTAGGAATAAGATGACACGTAACTTTTACTACACAATCAATTTATTACGGTAATAGGTAAAATCATAGGTACTTAATGTTAACCGAGGTGTTCAGTGATGGTGCAAATATATCAATTTTCAATAAGATATTCACTCTTAGTTTCATTCTAAATGTGGTTTACGTACTGTAACATTTCACTGTGAGCGAAACCACAGCGAAGCACACACGAGCAACGGTTTCCGCGCCGTCTGCCCGCCCAACTTGATAAGCCTGAAATTAACAAGGCTGCTGCGATGCGCTAAAATGAAAAATTATATAACGTTTAAATAAATCTTTCAAAGTATCACAAGTCACTTATTTTTACTATGCAGCTCATTAAGTACTAGTAGTAGAAAATACTACTTTCTCATTTTTCAACATTGTGGGTGTGGACTTTCGTGTCACGATCGGATCAAGTTCAGAACTTGCGCAAATGATAAAGATATTGGTATAAAAGTTAATTTGCAATTCTGACATTAACATAAAACTACAGACAGTCTCACAGTGTGGTGTAAAAAGTTCACTAAACAAACAATAATAATGATCTCAAAAGTAAGTGAAGTACCTACCAACTATGTTCTTAGTAGTTGCAGTGAACAAATAAGTGTCAGTGATCGAATATCAAAGTGACATACAGGAGCTTAAACATTGAAACTATTTCACAGGCCACCTGCCTCGCCCTCGTCTTTGCCGTGGCTGCGGCGCGGCCTCAGGGCGGCCACGAGCACGGGCACGCGTACTCGTCGCAGAGCATCGTGCTGCACCAGAGCCACGGCCACGAGGCGCAGAGCCACGGCCACCAGGTGCAGAGCCACGGCCACCAGGAACAGAGCCACGGCCACCAGGCACAGCAGAGCCACGGCCACGAGGAGCACCACACTGACTACTACGTAAGAGCTTATCCTGATTTCGTTACGTTCCAAGTTCTGTAAGGAACACCTTTGTTACGTCTAATACGTGCCCTATAGTTGCCGCGAGCTAGCGGGAGCGTGCGTCAAGTCTAATGTGTGTTCTGTTGCAGGCGGAGCCCCATTACGCGTACGAGTACAAGGTGCAGGACCCGCACACGCACGACAACAAGTACCACCACGAGACCCGCAAGGGCGACCAGGTGAAGGGCGTCTACAGCCTGCACGAAGCCGACGGCACCGTGCGCATCGTCGAGTACACCGCTGACAAACACAACGGGTAAATAAACGCTGATTTTACTCTACATTTTCGAATATAGAGAATTAGAATTATTAAATTTTGCATCCCTTTCTACTCTCGAGCATTGTCATGAGAAGATAATTAAGTATGATAGGAAGATTGAAAAACCATCGGACTCATGGTATCCTGAGATTCTGTATAAGTATGTTTTTCCTTATTACAGATTCAACGCTATTGTGAGGCGTGAGGGTCACGCCAAGCACGTCATCCCTGAACACCACCACCACCACTGATTTTGTTACTTATGATTGTTATATTAGATCACTGCCTGTTAAGTTTTGTTACTACGTTATGGTGCAATAAAATAAATGTTAATTGTATTTATATAGTACTTATTTCATGTACTCCTTCCATCATTTAGGCAAAACCTTATTTAACACTGGTTTACGAATACTATTTGATTAGATAATTATTAAAACTGATACATATTAAGCAGCCTATCCAATATAATCTACGCAAACACTTTAATGTAACAAACCTACCACTGTAACCCTAACAATTTATTGAAAAACTTGAACTTTTTAATTATTTTTTTAAGAATAAAGTAAAATGCGAGTGCTTAAAAAAGATAATAGTAAAAATCATACTAGAAAAAGTTTAGTATGCTTATAAACTACTACTTTACATACTTTTAATTTTTGAAATTATATTAGGTGCAAAATGCAATTTGTCTTCTCATGGACATTGAACAATATCTACGAGTGCGTAGCAGGACACTTGCGCCACAGTACTTACGCGGAAGACATTTGACATTAATTTCAGCGAAAGACACGTGCGCGAAAAACATTTCGTTGAAGAATATTAGCAATTTGTAAATACGAATCGACGAAAATAATCCCTTTAACCCCTCATGGTAAGCTGAATATTAGGGTGGTCCTTATTCCTACGAAAAAAAAATTTTTTCTTATATTTTGCGGGGCACCACGTAATTTGAATATATACCATATGAAAGTCTTTCATTTTTTTTTTTTTAATTTTTAATAGACATTTAGGGGTCGCTACCAAGGTTTGAATTTTAAGTAAAAACACAAAATCTGTATTTGTTAGATTTATTTATTTTTAGCCAAAGCCAAATAAAAATATTGCAAAATTATTGTTGTTGCTATGAACTAAGATATTATGTACAATGTACATATTTAAATCAATTATTTCTAAGATATAAGAGTTGACTTGTTAGTATCTCTCTGTACCGGTACTATGGTCGGTACAGAAAAGGGGTTGAGGGGAGAAGGGGACAAGAAGCGATTGTCTATTCTATCTATTCGATGTTCATTTGCACGTAAAATGTGATATAAACACTTAAATAAAACATTTATGAAACCATGATTTAAGATCTTCAAAGCTTTTTGTAAATATTTTGACAGCTGGTAGCGACCTCTAAATCTTAACAAAAAAAAAAACAAAAAAAGCTAATTTCATATTTAGAGGTATATAATCGAATGAGAAAGTGCCCCGGGGATAATTCAAAAGTCGAAAAATAAGGACCACCCTACTGAATATGCTTGTGAGTGGGTTCATATTAAAGCGCGAAACAATATTTTTGAGTTATTAAATAATTGTCATTACGTACGTAGGTACTTCGATCGACTCATTGCCCATGTAGCATGGATATTCTTAGAGGTACTATGTCGGCCTGCCTGGATGCGAGCGGCGCAGGACCGGTCTTTATGGAAATCCTTGGGGGAGGCCTTCTTTGTCCAGCAGTGGACGTCTTTCGGCTGAAACGACGACGACTATGTCGGCAACAAATCCTGACTGAACAGTTATTATATCTTAGGTACTTCTATAAAAATTAATCATCCTCAAAGTACCATACGTACCAAAGTAGAGACCTCCCCATAAGGTTCATAGAGTTGCGGTTCTGATTAAATTGTTACAAAGATGTACTTTACAGACATAGGTAAGTATATAGGTACTGTAGGTGTAGTGTGAATTTACGTCAAACGATGTCCACTGCGTAAAAAAGTGACATTAAATGTACCTAGCTATGACGGATTGTACAGCGCCCCTAGCGGAAACTTTCAAGAACTTAAATCTTCTTAATTATATTTGTTTTAAAGCGCTCGATAGTGACGGCATTTGATGTAACACACACCCTCTGAATTAATTTATCTAAAAATGCATAGTTCGGGAGAATTGGAGCAAAAATAAATAAAATAAGGGCTCCTTGTCAGGACTACGGAAACCTTTTTAGTCAGAAATTTGCGTTTTTTTCGAGAGGTGCTTAGCGAATAGCGAGCACAAGTTTTTGAAGTTGCATAGGGTAAGTAAGCCCCAACTAGTCATACAGACAACAAACGAAGCTTTGCGATTTTAGATAGTTAACTTGTTGATTTGGACTAGGCTATTCGTAAAAGCTTCGAATACATCTTGGTTGAAATGGTTTTCATAAAGTTAATGTCTTTAAGTTTTTTGATATTTGTTTTTAAATCGTTACTACAGTTACTACGAGTATGTAGGTACTTATTATGTAATGTTTTTAAAGATGTCCTATCAGATTGTGCCTATAGCCTGGAATAAAACCTGAAAACCGCCTCTGTGGTCCAGTGGTAAGACCACCTGCTTCAGACGCAGAGGTCTCGGGTTCGATTCCCAGTGGGGGCAGATTTTTCTGTTCGGTTTGGTTGGTGGTAGGGCTTGTTCTAAGTCCGCCTGGCTAGCTACCACCATCTTACCTAAGTCTGTCGCCAATAACAACAATGTTAACAGCATTGTTGTCTTCCAGCAGTTAGAGGTAAGATAGCCAATTCCTCCGTGGTTGAGGATTCCGGGTGAAGCTCGCTTCCACCTTCGGCCTGATCGTCACTTACCATCAGGTGAGAGGCCAAGAGCTTCCTCGTTGTTGATAAAAAAAAAAGAATGATACATGTAAGGAGATAAAACTTTGCTAAGATAGAATAACCTCTCATATTGTTCGAAGAAATTCTGTTGTTTTTAATGTTTGATATCAAGTAGGTAATAGGAAATCGTCTTTAATTCGTCGTACATCATACAAACGAATATTCACAATGACGTGTATTTGCGTTTCCTTGATTCGGATACATTAGAGGAATAAGTAAAACAGAAAAAGTAGATTGAGATATTCGCTATATTTACAAACTTAACAAAAACATATCAATATTCAACAGATATGATCACAGGTTTAATGGTGAGAGTGGTGGTGTTCGGGGACGATGTGCTTGACGTGACCTTCGTGTTTCACCACAGCGTTGAATCTGTTAAACAAAGAATAAATTGTGTTACTTAGCTGNTTCAGTTGGAAAAAATTGACAAAATATGAAAATTAAACAGTCAATTCCAAGTTAGCTTCTGAACTTACCCATTGTGTTTGTCAGCGGTGTACTCGACGATGCGCACGGAGCCGTCGGCTTCGTGCAGGCTGTAGACGCCCTTCACCTGGTCGCCCTTGCGGGACTCGTGGTGGTACTTGTTGTCGTGCGTGTGCGGGTCCTGCACCTTGTACTCGTACGAGTAATGGGGCTCCGCCTGTGAAAGAACACGTCATATTGTACTTCGCTCTACAAACATTCCCGCTAGTTTGAGAGGGTATGTATCCTTATTTTTTCAACTATAACACGTGTGCCAAGCGCTACAATGGTGTCCCTAGTGCTTGATTTACGCGCGTTACATCATATGGATAAGCTCTTACGTAGTAGTCAGTGTGATGGTGCTCCTCGTGGCCGTGGCTCTGCTGCGCCTGATGGCCGTGGCTCTGCTCCTGGTGGCCGTGGCTCTGCACTTGGTGGCCGTGGCTCTGCGCCTCGTGGCCGTGGCTCTGGTGCAGCACGATGCTCTGCGACGAGTACGCGTGCCCGTGCTCGTGGCCGCCCTGAGGCCGCGCCGCAGCCACGGCGAAGACAAGGGCGAGACAGGTGGCCTGTGAAATAGTTTAAATGTGCTAAACTCCTGCATAACACTTTAATATTCGATCACTGACACTTATTTATTTGATCACTGATCACCTTTAAATTTTTTTAGTAACGAGAATTTCACTTACTTTTGAGATCATTATTATTGTTTGTTTAGTGAACTTTTTACACCGCACAGTGAGACAGTTTGTGGTTTAACCCATTTAGACCGATAATTATTTTTGTAAATAAAAATTAATTTTTCAGCAAAAACTTACAAAGGGAAGCCTAAAAATCATAAAAAAAATATTTTAAAAAATAATCTATAAATAGGGGGACGTGGGGAGCCCGTACCATATAGGGTACAGTAGGTCTATAAGCAAGCAAAACATAGTCGTTGTTCAAAGAAGATTTTTATTTATTTTTGTATGATATAAAATAAAAATAAAATCATGTAATCACACTTGGCATATCTTGTAAGACGTTTTCTGTGATACTAACCACATTTGGTTCTTTTTTCCTACATTTTCCGAAGTTAGTGAGGATAGCTGAAGAAGACCTGGCTTCTTCTGATTTGTTACGTTTAGTGCTATCCATAATCGCATTTAGCAACACGACGATGGAAATTTAGCAAATCCATCGAAGAAAACTCTGAGGGTTATTATTTACATTGACACTATCTTTATCGCCTAAATCTTCGTCAGTCTGATCATANCTTAGCTGGAAAAAATTGACAAAAAAAGAAAATTAAACAGTCAATTCCAAGTTAGCTTCCTGACTTACCCATTGTGTTTGTCGGCGGTGTACTCGACGATGCGCACGGAGCCATCCGCTTCGTGCAGGCTGTAGACGCCCTTCACCTGGTCGCCCTTGCGGGTCTCGTGGTGGTACTTGTTGTCGTGCGTGTGCGGGTCCTGCACCTTGTACTCGTACGAGTAATGGGGCTCCGCCTGTGAAAGAACACGTCATATTGTACTTCGCTCCACAAACATTCCTGCTAGTTTGCAAGGGTGTGTATGCTTATTTTTCAATACATGGCAACTATTCCCTAGTACTCGATTTACGAGCGTAACATCATCTGGATAAGCTCTTACGTAGTAGTCAGTGTGATGGTGCTCCTCGTGGCCGTGGCTCTGCTGCGCCTGGTGGCCGTGGCTCTGCACCTGGTGGCCGTGGCTCTGCGCCTCGTGGCCGTGGCTCTGGTGCAGCACGATGCTCTGCGACGAGTACGCGTGCCCGTGCTCGTGGCCGCCCTGAGGCCGCGCCGCAGCCACGGCAAAGACAAGGGTGAGACAGATGGCCTGTGGAACAGTTTAAACGTGCTAAACTCCTGCATGACACTTTGATATTCGATCACTGACACTTATTTATTTGATCACTGATCACCTTTAAATTTTTTTTTAACGAGAATTTCACTTACTTTTGAGATCATTATTATTGTTTGTTTAGTGAACTTTTTACACGGCACAGTGAGACAGTTTGTGGTTTAATGTTAATGTCAGAATTGCAAATTCACTTTTATACCAGTATCTTTATCATTTGCGCAAGTTCTGAACTTGATCCGATCGTGACACGAAAGTCCACACCCACAATGTTGAAAAATGAGAAAGTAGTATATAATTTGAAAACTGTATGTAGTAAGTATAATATACAGTTTTAATAAATTATGATGATTTAAACAACTGTTTCTTACTTATCATCCGTCTCTACAATCTATATATATAAAAATGAAACCCGTTTCGCGTTGTCACGGCATCACGTGTGAACGGCTGAACCGATTTCGATAATTATTTTTTTTTAAATGTTTGTGGAAGTCCAAGGATGGTTCTTACGGAAAAAAATATTAAGAAAATCTCTACGCTAAGGCGGTACGAAGTTCGCCGGGTCAGCTAGTAAACTATAAATTGTGGACATACAAAACTGTCGTAACTATTTGAAACCGTTTCCTTGTTTGTAAATGGTACGAGTAAGTACCTATTGATAAGCAATAAGTATTGTTGCCTAAAAATATTCTAAAAGTTTATTGTAATGAATCGGTTGATTGCATTGACTTAACTTAGATTCAGAATTGGAAAAAGACAACTAAGTGTCTTTTGACATGTTGTGTTGACGAAAGCAACCTAAACAAAAAGTGCACATTTTTTTACAGATCAATTTAAGATTTTTCCTATATTTTAAAGCTGACACAAACTGAGGCCTTAGGTGATCAAGTATTTGCCCTGTATTTACCAAATGCACTTACACGCCTCCGCGGCCGGAACGCTTCCGGTACCGCTACAGTGTTTTAAATTTTTATTTTTTAATAGCTTCAAACCGTCATGAATTCTATGAAAATTTAAAATTAGGTACAAAAATAATAAGGAAGTCATTTTGTAAATTGTTTTTAAGTTGATATTATGTTACAACATGCATGAATGCACATCGAGGGTTAACATAGGAATTTTCGGCATTTATTTAAAAACAAATGATGATATCAGTTTCAGGACAATCATTGTTTTAGGTGCACTATTTAAGTTTTGGGCAACTTATCCTCAATGCATGCATGTCATATAATCCGCATAAGGCCTGTTAACATTGACACCAATCTGTCTGTTTCCCTAAATCTAATTTGAATAATTCTCTGTAAGTAAGATTGCAAACTGCAAATAGTATTTAGATTATTGCAACAATCTAGTATTTTTCAGCTAAAAGCTATTGGAAAGATGTGAATGAAAGCCTAATACCTAATTGACACAGACAATAACACCGTTGCTCTTAAAAATGTTGTGCATTATGATATAACACATTTGGCTGCTAAAAATATCCAAAATCTGCCTGACTACACGATGAAAGTCACTGACCTTCTATATCGAAATATTTTTGACACTTGGCCTTTTTATCGCTTTAAGCTCACTATCCAAAAGCAAAAGCTTTCCATATAAATTGGCAGTAAATTATGAAACTGCATCAGTTGATTCATAAGAATCTGACAGTAATATCCTATCAATATGTTTATTAAAGTAAGGAAACATAATTTATGCATTAAAATATAATTAATTAATATTGATTTCTCACTTTATATAAAGCTGAATGAATATGTATAGGGGTGTTAATTGCTTGTCTCTTCTCCAGGTGGTCGCAGTGTTGGCCCTAGCAGCCGTCTGCTTGGCTGAGGAGCACGCGTACTCGTCGCAGAGCATCGTGCACCATCACGTGCACCACGAGCACCACGAGCCCAAGGTCGAGGTCAAGGTGGAGAAGCAAGTCGTGGAGAAGGTGGTGCCCGTCGCTCACTACGTCGAGAGCCACAAGCATGAGGAGCACAAGCACGAAGAACACAAGCACGTAGAACACAAGCATGAAGAACATAAACATAAGGAACACAAGCCCGCCATCTCCTCATACCACATCGAGCGCCACGACGTGCCCGCTCCTCCCCCTAAGGACTTCCACAAGTATGATTTTTATAATAAGACGCGAATTATGTATTATAGAAACTAAAAACACAACGTTCTTTGTAAAGTTGATTGAGTATATTTCCATAAAAGACAATACATAACCAAACGATGCTGCGTGTAATGGATAAAAAACGTAAAGTTATCATTTGTGTAAATGAAAACATACTTTTTTTGGTAAATGTTGCCAGTAGGTAAACATTTGAGAGCTGCCCCATATTATTATTCCTCAGAAGTAGGCATGTTTATGTAAAGCGATTTCATAGCAGCTATTTTGGTTGTTTGAAAATGATAAATAACTTGAAAAAATCGAATTGCCTAAGGCGTTAATAAGGCGTTAATAAGGCGTAAGTAGCTCAGTTGGAAGAGCAGTCGCCCGGCAAGCGGAAGGTCGTGGGTTCAATTCCCGCCTTAGGCAATTCGATTTTTTCAAGTTATTTATCATTTTCAAATTAGTTTGAGATGCGACTCTTAACGCTAAAAATTAAATAACTATGTNCTTGTCGCGGGAGGTGCGATTTATTTGATGTCGAGTGTATTTGAAACCGTTTCCTTGCTTGTAAATTATTTAATGGTACGAGTAAGTACCTATTGATAAGCAATAAGTATTGTTGCCTAAAAATATTCTAAAAGTTAATCGTAATGAATCGGTTGATTGCATTGACAAAAGATACCATAAGTGTCTTTTGACATGTTATGTTGACGATAGCAACCTAAACAAAAAGTGCGCATTTCTTTACAGATCAATTAAGATTTTCCCTACATTTTAAAGCTGACACAAACTGAGGCCGTAAGCGATCAAATAATGGCCCTGCAGGAATTTACTGAATGCACTGACACGCCACCGCGGCCGGAACGCTTCCGGTTCCACCACAGTGTTTTCAATTTTATTTAGTAGCTTCAAACAGTCATGAATTCTATGCCAAATTTGAAATCAGTTATAAAAATAATAAGGTAAGTAATTCTGTAATTTGTTTATTAATCGTTTAAATGTAGAATTGGTACGCCAGAAACAATAACTAAGTTGATATTATGTTACAACATGGTTAACATAGGAATTTTCGGCATTTATTCGAAAACAAATGATAATATCAGTTTCAGGACAATGTTTTAGGTGCACTATTTAAGTTTTGGGCAACTTGTCTTCAATGCATGTCATATAATCCGTATGGCCTGTTAACATTGACACCAATCTGTCTGTTTCCCTAAATCTAATTTGAATAATTCTCTGTAAGTAACATTGCAAACTGCAAATAGTATTTAGATTATTGCAACAATATAGTATTTTTGAGCAAATTTTAAAAGTAAAACTATTAGAAAGATGTGAATGAAAGCCTAATATGTAATTGACACAGACAATAACACCGTTGCTCTTAAAAATGTTGTGCATTATGATATAACACATTTGGCTGCTAAAATATCCAAAATCTGCCTGACTACACGATGAAAGTCACTGACCTTCTTTACCGAAATATTTTTTGACACTTGGCCTTTTTATCGCTTTAAGCTCACTATCCAAAAGCAAAAGCTTTCCATATAAATTGGCAGTAAATTATGAAACTGCATCAGTTGATTCATAAGAATCTGACAGTAATATCCTATCAATATGTTTATTAAAGTAAGGAAACATAATTTATGCATTAAAATATAATTAATTAATATTGATTTCTCACTTTATATAAAGCTCAATGAATATGTATAGGGGTGTTAATTGCTTGTCTCTTCTCCAGGTGATCGCAGTGTTGGCCCTCGCAGCCGTCTGCTTGGCTGAGGAGCACGCGTACTCGTCGCAGAGCATCGTGCACCATCACGTGCACCACGAGCCCAAGGTCGAGGTCAAGGTGGAGGAGCAAGTCGTGGAGAAGGTGGTTCCCGTCGCTCACTACGTCGAGAGCCACAAGCATGAGGAGCACAAGCACGAAGAACACAAGCACGTAGAACACAAGCATGAAGAACATAAACATGAGGAACACAAGCCCGCCATCTCCTCATACCACATCGAGCGCCACGACGTGCCCGCGCCTCCCCCTAAGGACTTCCACAAGTATGATGTAAGTATCGCGCCCGGTAATCTATTACCTTCAATTGTTTAAGAGAAGGTTATCTTACCTTCAAATTGTTTTAGTTTTGTGTTGAAGGCATGCAGTTTAATAATCGTAAGGGCTTGAGACGAGTCTATCGAACGATAAATACAGCGCGTCGGATAAAATATAATATGTACTTTTTATTTCTTAGGGCCCTGCCAAGTACGAGTTCGAGTACCAGGTGCATGACGCACACACCGGCGACATCAAGAAGCACCACGAGTCCCGCGATGGTTACAAGGTGGAGGGCGTCTACAGCCTGCACGAGCACGATGGTTCCATCCGCACTGTCAAGTACCACGCTGACAAGAAATCCGGGTGAATAAAACTTATTTCTCTCATTAGGCATGAATTCGATGTTACTCTCGACTAGTTAGATAAATGGTGTTCTATTTATCTGCTTAAAAGAATGAAATGACTCCCGGCACTTCTATCTGATTAGCTAACCGATGTTCAATTTTAATTTTGTTTTATTCCAGATTCAACGCCGAGGTGAAGCACACCACCAAGCACGTTGAGGAACACAAGCACCATTAAAATACCAACCCCATTGTTATCTGCCGCCGAAGTTCTTGTTAAATGTTTATTTATTTTAGGAATAATAAATTGATTGTGTAGTAAAAATTACGTGTCATCTTATTCCTATCTACCTTGTGTGTGATACTCACATAAAAACTTTAAAATTATTCGAAAAATATTTATCGTCCTTAATTTAATTTTACTACCTACCCATAAATATACGATAGTTCTGGTTGCATCAGTCGTTTAATAACATTTTAAATTAATACTACGTCATTATTAATTTACATAGTAGCTTTTAGATTCGACTACTGAAATGTAACAACATCCACAAAGGAGAAGTTGCAACTATCATTGAAAATTGTGGGATAATTCGTCCGACAAATGAGAAAATATTTCAAAATAATATACAAAATAATATAGATTGGGTATTAATAAATTTTATAATTTAACCTACTTCCTTTCATACTTAGAAATTGCTCCAAATATTCATTCAAACGTAGTAAAAGTAGGATCAAAGAAAAGCAAAATAAAATCGCTAGACAATCAAGTCTAGTTCAAGTATGGGTGCAAACAGCAGTAGTAATCAATGAGTAGACCAGACATTAACACCCATAATATTCACAAACGAAACTTGCTTAAGTGAAGTATAAAATCGAACGCACAGCGTTGAATAGAGCTCTGTGATTGGTTCGTACGTATGTGACCCTGTGCGTCCACGCACACTATGAGACCTCATAGTAATGTTTGTGAATACAGCCGTAAGTTACGCACTACACAGCAGGCTTGAGGACAAAAATAATTTGTTGCATAGACCTTATAAATAACTTCCAGCGAGTTCAAACCAATAAGGCACCCTATACTACTTAAACTGCCTCTCATTCGGTGGACGGACGACCTGCGCGCCTGGATGCAGACACGGACAGCGCATGGCTGGATATTGCGGAAATGCGTTGCAAGAAGACAAGCCCGTCTGTTGCTGAGCAAATATTACTGCTGTGGACATCTTGATGTTGAAAATCTAATATAGTATAGTTGTTGCAATACACAAAGACGAGTGGGCTTTACATGTGTAGTGGCCCGCTACTGTTAGTTTTAATAGACATCACACTATCGTTATGTATTGTGCATGTACACGTACACACCACAACACACACAAGTAAAGCTCACTCGCCTTCGTGAGTTGCAAGAAGTATACTATTGATGTGGATAGGTTTGGTTGCATTCATACACAATAGTTTTATTTATTTTGTCATGTCTTCGAGGGATATTACTTAAATAGTTGCTGTATGACGGTATAATATTTCTCGTTTCCAAAGATGATAACAATGTAAATACCTAGATAAGGATCATTTTACTTAAGTAAAAAAAACTTAAGTTATCAGTGCAAGGGATAATAAGAAACAATGGATATCCTGTTTAGCCTAAAGCAGCTTTAGCTTTTTTCTTTAATAATTATAAATGCTTATAAAATAATTAATTTACTAATATTATAAATGCGAAAGTTTGGATGTCAGGATATCTGGATGTCTGAATGTTTGTTACTCTTTCACGCAAAAATGACTGAACGGATTTTGTTGAAACTTTACAGTATTGTTGTTTGTAACCCAGATTACCATATAGGCTATAATTTATGCCGATCTGTGACACTAAATGTGAATAAATAAATCACAATAGTTCCATAATGTTGAGCTTTTCTGAAATAAGTTCTCATTTATTCTTAGGAAAATGGACAACGACACTTTCATTTTCTTTTCAATTACACTTTTTCTCCTGAGTCATCGTTTCTGATTAATCATCTCTTATTGTTTGGATTCATCTTTGTAGCTATCGAGAATTCACAGGACTTAGGTTTGGACCTCTGCCATCTAGCTTGCCTATCTCTTCTAAGAATACGACACTCACTAACTGCTAGGTGCGAAGTTCGCGGGGTCAACTAGNATGAGGAGCACAAGCACGAAGAACACAAGCACGTAGAACACAAGCATGAAGAACATAAACATAAGGAACACAAGCCCGCCATCTCCTCATACCACATCGAGCGCCACGACGTGCCCGCTCCTCCCCCTAAGGACTTCCACAAGTATGACGTGAGTATCGCGCCCCTAAGTATACTTACTTTATCACCCACAACTTTTTTTTTGAATATGCTAGTCTCAATTACTTACAACAGAAAATAGTAGAAAATCATTCTGCGAGCCTGCACCTCTGATGAGATCTAAATATCTTGCTGTTTAAAAATACACCTATTCATAACGANTATGACGACTTAAGAATAATTTAACAGAAAAAGCTTTCAGCGCGATTTGGATGAATAAAAATAAAAATGCATTTTTTGTTAATTAGGGCCCTGCCAAGTACGAGTTCGAATACCAGGTGCATGACGCCCATACTGGTGACATCAAGAAGCACCACGAGTCGCGCGATGGTTACAAGGTGGAGGGCGTCTACAGTCTGCACGAGCACGATGGTTCCATCCGCACCGTCAAGTACCACGCTGACAAGAAAACCGGGTAAATAGAACATCTTTCTTTCTCCTAGGCGTTACCTGCCAGTATCTTTCTATTGCAACTAGTTGCAATAATTGACTGGATCCCGTTACTTCTACCTGATCTGATGCTCATTTGTTTTATTTCAGATTCAACGCCGAGGTGAAGCACACCACCAAGCACGTTGAGGAACACAAGCACCATTAAAATACCAACCCCATTGTTATCTGTCGCCGAAATTCTTGTTAAATGTTTATTTATTTTAGGAATAATAAATTGATTGTGAAATAAGAAAAATCTCATTTCTTTTATTAGGTTATTCTGTATTTAACCTATGACGTCTCAACCCACTCATTACTTTTTCCTTACTTTACCCACAACAATTACCTATTTCGTTATAAGTTCCTCATTCACCCCAAAACATTCCTAGCTCAACTTATTTTTAAACCTAAATTAATAAAGTAAATTTTACAGGAAGTGTTTTTGTCAAATATCTTTTCAACCACTAGGACTATTAAAATGAAAACGATTTTTTACGGAAAAAAATTCTTTATATAAAATATTATAGGAAAGTACTTAATAGTACTTTACGGGATAATTGCCGTAAAATTAATCAAAACAAAAAATTTCGTAACGTAATATTATGGAGTGTTATGGGATTATTTTTTACTGAACTAACTAACTTACCTAGAGGATGTCGAACCAAGGCGAAAAGTTCATGTAGCCCATTCCCGTAGGACCAACCCCCTCCTGTTAAGAGACGAGTGAAGTTCTAAAGCGTGCCTGCATAAGAACCGAAGCGTGGCACAATAATTTCGACAATTTTTTGCCAAAACTGACAACTCTTTTGATGCTTGCATGTAGGAGACCTCAAACCGAGAAAAAAAGTTACATAGTTCATTCCCTTAGGACCTACCTTCTGGCCTCTAGAATCGATTTAAATTTTACGATTTTCAAAGATGTTAAAATTTTAGAAATAATAGGTATACTGCCATCATCTAGCTAGAGGATGTCGAACCAAGGCGAAAAGGTAATGTAAGTTACCCCCATAGGACCAACAGACGAGTGTATAGGAAACAGGGCGCGACACAAAAATTTCGACAAACATTTTTGCCCAAAACTGACAATTCTTTATTGACTGGACTATTGTTGTCATTAGACAAGGTGATACTAATCGATGGGCTAGCGGTCTCACTTTTATTGTATATGTTACAGGAAATGTATGAAATCCGTCATTGTATACAATTCCTAGGAATTGTGTATAAGTCCTAAAATCACCCGGAAATGTGTGATGTAAATTATATTAGACACATTTCCTAGGAAATTTACACATTTCCTAAACAGCAATCGGAAATGTAATTAAGATTTCAATGAATACGCGTGGACATGCGGTGCGAGGGGAGGATATTGCATCATCCGATTACGCGGGGTCTCTATCGAATCGTCAAATTTTTTGCACGCCTAGTTGTCTATGGCACACAAATTTTAAGCCTTAAATTTTTTTACACAAAATTATTTTTATTACGCCCCTTTGTTTTCTCCGAAACTTAAATGGCGCTACCGCGCCGCGCCAACTGTGTATGTGTAAGGTCGCAAGTCTAACCTAACCTAACCAAGACTTTGTTAACCAGCTACAGAAGTATTAAAACCTTTATGCCAATAAGTTAAATAAAAGAGATGTTAAAATTAGTGATTTCCAATACTTCAGCGTAATATGCGTGATGCCAAAAGAAAGGATGCCAATAGGCAAATTTTTTTTTCGGCCAAAGTATAATAGTGCGAAAACAACTGTCAGGCTAAACAATAATATTGTGAGTTAAAAGTACCTATCGGCCAATGTGGTTTGGCTAAATGAAATTTTAGGCGTACCGAGGGGCACCCGATCACGCGACCGCGCTTGTGCCGCTTAGTTTTATACATTTCCTAATACAATATTGGAATTCTATAAAATTCCTAGGAAAAGTATACATTTCCTCGGATATGTGCGTATTAAAAAATCTCTAAAGCAATATTTTATACATTTCCTAAATAGCTTCGGAATTGTATACATTTCCTAGGAATAGTATACAATTCCTAGAATTCATACATTTCCTGTAACATATATAAATAAAGAAGATATCACTTATAAATAACTGGTGCTTGCTTATAAATGTGAAAGGTGATTGATTTTATACTTTTAGTTAAAAAAGGTAATGAGATCATAATTTATTTGGGTTTAGGTGGCTTATTAAACTCGTAGTCATAAACTATGGTCTAAAAAAGTTATTAAAACTAAAAATTATCATGCCCAAACAATGTAAATTAAAAGAGACAGGGGCAGAAATTTGTTCTACTACTTTAGATTTAACCTTAAAACTTCATTTTAAATAAGCCACTGTTAGTGTCTTTCCAAGAAGAAAGATTTTATTGTTTGTTTGCATGAGCTTCGTTTCTGTAAACATAGGCTTAACCGGTGCTTTTTTATGGAGTTTATCAGATTTTTATCGTTTGTCAAAGTTAAAGTAAGATGGTGCAACTCAGCCTCAGAGTGGTTAGGGTCAGGGAATTTAAAAGTACGAAACGTTTTTAGAAATGGATTTTCTATATTTACAAAACTTAACAAAACATTATCAAGAGTCAACAGGTAGTATCACAGCTTAAGAGGTAGTTATTTAATGGTGCGAGTGGTGGTGCTCGGGGACGATGTGCTGGACGTGGCCTTCGTGCTTCACGATGGCGTTGAATCTATAAGAGAATAACGATTTGATTAAATTATCAGGTCATGTAATAATATTATTCGCAGGATTTAGGTAAGCGCTAGTGTAGACCATTGCCTAATACTGCGATTGAAATAAAACAAAACAAACATGGAGTAAAATTTTTAACTTACCCATTGTGTTTGTCGGCGGTGTACTCAACGATGCGTACGGAGCCGTCAGCTTCGTGCAGGCTGTAAACGCCCTTTACCTGGTCGCCTTTGCGGGTCTCGTGGTGGTACTTGTTGTCGTGCGTGTGCGGGTCCTGCACTTTGTACTCGTACGAGTAATGAGGCTCCGCCTGTAACAGAAAATATTACATTTTACACAGCTCAGACGCTCCCGCTAGCTCTCTTTGCACGCTTCTTTTTCTAATACTCGTATCACAGGCTGGACTAAACCACTGTGTCCCTAATAACTGGACTGAACTGAAACACTGAGAACGCGCGAGTGAGGTCTCGCGACTAGCACGCGATTTACGAGCAAATGCATGTGGATGTAGTAGTTCTCTAGTATCTTGCGATCATGTAATCTAGACAAGTTCTTACGTAGTAGTCAGTGTGATGGTGCTCCTCGTGGCCGTGGCTCTGCTGTGCCTGGTGGCCGTGGCTCTGTTCTTGGTGGCCGTGGCTCTGCACCTGGTGGCCGTGGCTCTGCGCCTCGTGGCCGTGGCTCTGGTGCAGCACGATGCTCTGCGACGAGTACGCGTGCCCGTGCTCGTGCCCGCCCTGAGGCCGCGCCGCAGCCACGGCAAGAGCTGCCGCAACGATGACGATCTAAACGAAATACGTATTTTGTTAGAATTATATACATATTGAAGTAATATTTTATTTTATTTTGCAACTTTTTGACAACTAATATTGAATAATGAATGAATAATTATTACAGCTCAAGTATATATGTATACTTTATACATAGTAGTCAATTCCAAGTGACAATAACTTTTTGGTTACCTTAGAAAACATGTTTAATTTTTTGGTGCTGTTGACCCTACAAATGTTGTAAGTTGAATGATAATGCTGATTTAATTCATATCTCTTAAATACTCCATAGCAAAATTTGCACCTGTTCAGTTTTCTTAAGAAAGTAGTCGTAACAGTAGTAAAACCCGTTTCATTAAGTGCGTGAGTGTAAACGTGTCCTTGACACGGGCAAAGTTATGAAGGCGCCTAAATACCTACTTAATCTTATGGATGTATTTTGACTGAAGCGAGCTTGCGTGATAATCTCTGAGTTATGTTCTGTAAACTGTCGTCGATTACTGTGGATATAACGTGATTATCTTTTCGTGGATGACTCTTGTCACTGTGACAAATATATTTTATCTTTCTATTTTAAAAATTTTATAAAGAGAAAAAGAGAGACAAAGTAGTACTTATTCTTGTCTATAGAGTTCTAAAACATCCTACCACGGTGACAAAATTCACCTGTGCGCGCGAGTCCTTATTCGCATGTTGTGGCCTTAACTAGGGTTACTTTTGTGGTAAGTTTTTAACGTTTTCAAAAACTATAGCTGTAGAACATTCCACTGATAGAACCTTCTGGTGGTGGTCACGAGAAGCATTCAGATGCAGACAGCGCAGGTCTTGTCGTCGTTGTAGAGATCCTTGGCAGGAGACACTTTTTGCAGCATTTTGTCCAAAATTATTATGATGATAGGTAGGTACTTGACAATTACAGCAATAGGTGTAAGTATTTTTATGTAATTTCAAACACAATTTCTTTAATTTAGCCCTTGAAGAGTTTTTGTTTGTTGAGAGGCTGTTTTAGTTTAATGGGGTCGTAGTAATATGTATTACTGCGAGCGATATAGATGTATTGTATTTTCCAGTTTTACAACAACAAATACAAATTCCAACAAAGTTCAGTTTTGGGATACAAAAGTTTGTATCGATAAAATGATTAACGATAAGCAATATTGAGATCTTGAACCTGTTTAATACCGGTTTGCCAAATAAAAGTACAGCACAGAGTGGACACATTTCACTGCAAAGCGACATACGAGTGCATTTCTTTATTGCAAAACGGTTTGATAACTCGAATTCAGGCGATTATAAAAATCGCCGAATTTTAATTATCAGTATCAGTTCACCACTGCACTTCACAAGGATAACAGTAACAATGTTCTATAAGGTAATTGAATAAATTGGAAATATTTTATTATTTGACTTCAAAGAAAGGAGGAGGTTCTCAATTGGATATAATGTCCTAATAAATCAATCTGAGGAACTACACCAAGTGTTTTTACATTAACTATCATGTGTGTCCCAAATGGAAATCGAACCCACAATTTTTAGTTTAGAGACATCAAGGTCTGTGACCATTGGACACTGGTAAAATAATGCGTTTTATTCTGTCAGGTATTGTGCATCGCCGCTCTGGTAGCCGCAGTGGCCGCCCAGTCCGACCACGGCCACCACAGCCACCACCACGCCTACTCCGCCCAGCACATCTCGCGCCACGACGGCAAACCAGAAAAAGTCACTGTTGAAGTGAAAGACAAACACGGACATCATGAACTTCACTACGATTACTACGTAAGTACGCCCTTACATAGAGTATCAATAAAATATTATTATTTGTATAAAATAAAAAGTCAACGTTACAGGACACGGCGCACATCAATATAATAGAATAGAATTGGATAGAAAACTTTTTATTTGCAAGAAAGGTATACAAGCAGGCAAGAAATAAAGATATATAAGATTAAAAGAGAGAGAAATAAACAAATGGACAATTAACTGCTTGTGCCCATCTGACAAAAAGGGTGACCGCCAGGGCTTGTCTTGAAACTGATTTTCAGCGGGGGCCCTCTGTTGTCACGGCGTACCCCTGCTGACGGAGATGCAAGAGGAGAAACATGAACACCACTATGATTATTATGTGAGCATGTTACTCACCCTGCCCTAAAATCGTACACGTTAACTTTGCAAAAGAAAAACAATGTTTTACGGAGTAATTTTTTTGATCCAACACAATGATTGATATTTTTGGTCTACCAGGCTCACCCTAAGTACGAGTTCGAGTACAAAGTAGAGGACAAGCACACCGGCGACCTCAAGAGCCAGCACGAGACCCGCGACGGAGATGTCGTGAAGGGCTACTACTCTCTGCACGAGCCTGATGGTTCCGTCAGGGACGTGCACTACCACAGCGACAAGCACACCGGGTGAGTTTACAAATTATAACAAACCTAATCAATTAGATCTTAGATAAGTCAAAATAACCGTTCGTAGATTTAGATTTTCGATTAAAAATGCACTTTCTGGTCCGTGCTGCAGCGTACGAATTTAAAAATTAGATTTCTTGACTTGTTCTATGCATTACCTAAAAAAAATTAATTCAAATACATACTAACATGTTTTTCTTTTTACAGATTCGAAGCCGCCGTCAAGCACACCACCCACCACCATCACCACTAATGTGTATCAAATGTTACGATTATTCTGTATGTTGCATATTAGTTTAAGTGTTGAATGTTGATAAGTATAATTAATGAATATTCTCTAGTATTTCTTTGTATTATTCAACATATTAAGCTCCTTGAATAGAACAAAAAGTTTCCAATGGCAAAAAAAAAGATTAACTAAATATTTTGAAGGAAAAATATTTAATTTTTTTTTATTAATGAATAATACAGTTCTTTTTATTATTATTACAAGCTTTTTAGAAGCTTTATTATTATTACAAGCTTTATATTGACTTCACTTGTTAGTATGTGTGGGACAAATCTTGCAACTGAATTTAAGACCACTTCTCCCCAACCGATTGAGCTGAAATTAATTGGGTATGCTTATGTAAGTACGATGACAATGCAATAGTATGGTACCATTAAGCTGGTCTGATGATGGAGTCAGGAGCTGGCCATAGCAACTCCTAAACGAAACGGCAGAAACTCATCGAATATGGGTTCGTTGGATTTGTCTTTTCGAGTAGTTTAGTGCTAGATGATTTCCAGGGTCCTGATGATGGAGTCAGAAGGTGGCCATAGGAACTCTTAAACGAAACGGCGGAAACTTATCGAATTTGGGTTCGTTGGATTATACTTCCCGAGCACTTTCGAACTCCTCCTATGTTCTTCTGATGAATTTCGTTGCGGGTCCAATAACAGTTTAACTTTCCCCCGGGACAAACTTGACCTTCATTGGTTGGGTTTTTGTGGCGGTCAAGCTGTAGATGCTGGCTACACAGGAGTTGCAGTGGTGGGAACGAGAGGTGGGAATAGTCCCGTTCCGGACGTTCCCGAGCACTTTGGTGCTAAATGATGACCAGGGCACTGAGATTGAGACACAACTAAAAAGTGTAAAATAACATTATAATAAAAAATAACTTTTTTAAAACAAGCTTTATCCTGAAATGCAGTTGTACTAAAAAGAAAAAAATAATTGTATGCTAGGTTCAAAGAATTTCGAAAGCTTGTAACACAAACAGAAAAAAAGAGAAATAAATTCCATGCGCTATACAGACTTAATGAAATAAAAGTAAATTGGAAACTACATACCTATTTAGGCCCGGTTTTTTGATTCGTAGTTAAAATAACCAATGGTCTTGATATATGTCAAATGACAAGTGGTGACAATGACAATGGTTCGCTTGAATTCTACATTTTTTAAACTATTTGTTTACATTTTGTTAATATTTAACCATTAGTAGAAAATTTAACAATTAGTTATTTTAAAACTAAGAATAAAAAAACTGGGCCTAGGTGTAAATTTTTTTCATTTCGGAATCTTTATGAAAACTGTACTACCTGAGTTATGTAAATTACATGAAATTTTATTATGTTAATATGCCGACAACATTTTAAGGGTTAATTTGAGCAGTCCATTTTTTCCTAGCCAATATATAGGTATCTAATGTCTCAAAATTACAGAGAACTTGTTCGGCAAATATAATAATAATTAAATCAAAATAATGTTCTTTGTATAGCATTATTTCTTAAAGTTGAACTGAAATTCTATTTTGCGTCTTTTCTAACACTTTATGCCGTTCAATAATGCAGTCCTGACGATCGACCGACATGAGTCAGCGACTTTTCGCCGACAAACAAAAACGGTGACAAGATTCTGAAATAAGGCCGCCGACACCAAGTCGCCGGACTTGGTGTATTATCTACAAGTGAGATGGATTTAAAAAAAATGCAGGATGAATGTTAAATGTACCTTACTGTCACCTTTTTTAACCGACTTCAAAAAAGGAGGAGGTTATTTAAAATAAGTTATATTATGCAAGCATTTATAGGGCTTGCGATTCGACTCAAGTAGGTATGTCACATCGCCTGCAGAAGCCAAAAATATACCTATTAGTCCAGTCATTATAGTAAGTTCACCTCGGAATTCGAGATACCCAGCTGTAAGTCTGTAAATACGTGTATATTGACACCCTAAAAGTTGTCTCAAAAGCTACATATGGTAGGGTGTAAGCAACTATTAAATTTCAAGGTCAACGGTCACAAAAATCGGTTTTTTGCGCTTTTTTTAGAAATATCTCATTTCCTGTGGGTTTTTTGCTATTTGTATTTATTATCAATATCGTAGAATACTAAATTCTCTACAAATTTTGTTTAAAAACTTTTTTTATACGGTGAACCGTTTTCGAGATAGAGGGCGGAGAGCGCGCGGTCACTGCATCACTTCAGGTCTACTTAAGCGGTTTAGATTTTTCATACAAAAGGATTTTCCCGCTAATTCCTGTGGGAATTTCGGGAATTCCTTGTTGTAACTAAGCTTTGAGTTTACTAAGGTACCTACATGCCAAATTTCAAGCGTCTAACTTCCGTTAAGCGTTTAGATTTTTCATACAAAAGGATTTTCCCGCTAATTCCTGTTCCCGTGGGAATTGTAGCTTATGGGAACTTTATTAAAATCGGGAATTGTCTCTAATGAAGCCGCAGCCTTAGCAGCCAAGTCAGCTGCCTCATTACCACCAATGCCTACATGAGCCTTGACCCATATAAACTCGATGGTTAATCGTGCAACATGAGCTTTATGGATTAAGTGGTGTATATTAACAGCAATCTGATTTCGAGTGTTAGGATTAGAAATTTCGGTGAGGCCGGACTTACAATCTGAAAAGATAATAGCGCGCTTGACTTGGTTGTCGATGATCCATTTACAAGCTTTTTCCATTGCAAAAAGTTCGGCCTGGAAAACTGAGCAGTAATGGTGGAGTTTTAGTTTTTTGATAGTACGGTCGTTATTTGGATGTATTACAACATACGCGGCTCCTACTCTGTCATCGTGTCTGCTTCCATCTGTATNTATTATCTTTTTATTTTAAAATTTTATAAAGAGAAAAAGAGAGACAACTTAGTACTTATTCTTGTCTATAGAGTTCTAAAACATCCTACCACGGTGACAAAATTCACCTGTGAGCGCGAGTCCTTATTTGCATACTTTTGTGCTATAGCTGTAGAATATTCCACTGATAGAACCTTTTGGTGGTGGTCACGAGAAGCATTCAGATGCAGACAGCGCAGGTCTGGTCGTTGTAGAAATCCTTGGCAGGAGACACTTTTTGCAGCATTTTGTCGAAAATTATTATGATGATGATATATGAAAGTTACAGCAATAGGTGTAAGTATTTTCATGTAATTTCAAACATAATTTCTTAAATTTAGCTCTTGAAGAGTTTTTGTTTGTTGTGAGGCTGTTTTAGTTTAATGGGGTCTTTTTTTTTTTTTTTTAAATTTGGGCATTTTTTAATTTCAGAGAGAGCGCGGCGCTATCGGTTTACGCGTTGCTCTCTCCTACGTGATTTAGAATTTTAATTGTTGAAAGATTTTAGGTTGCTAACTATGTTTTCAATGTGGGTGGTAAATGTTGTTATGGAATCTTGCTTGGTTATAATTTGTTGGAAATTGAATGGGTCGATGTTGTAAATTTGGCAAACTATATTATGGCTAAGTCTTGTTGATTGAAATCTTGGGCAGTCCTGAACGAGATGCAACATTGATTGGGTGGTTATATTATCACAGGGACATGTGTCATTGTCAGTAATCTTGAATCTGTGGAGGTATTCTTTATGGTATCCGTGGTTTGTGAGTAACTGAGTAATAGAAAAGGAGGGTTTGATATGTGATATGAACTCGATAAGATTTTCATACGAAGGGAGCCAGGATTTAGTGTACGCGCAATTATCTGGTGTAGAGTAGAGTTTTTTGGATTCCTGTTCTGATATTATTTTATTTTTGTGTTTAATGTAGCTTATGGGAACTTTATTAAAATCGGGAATTGTCTCTAATGAAGCCGCAGCCTTAGCAGCCAAGTCAGCTGCCTCATTACCACCAATGCCTACATGAGCCTTGACCCATATAAACTCGATGGTTAATCGTGCAACATGAGCTTTATGGATTAAGTGGTGTATATTAACAGCAATCTGATTTCGAGTGTTAGGATTAGAAATTTCGGTGAGGCCGGACTTACAATCTGAAAAGATAATAGCGCGCTTGACTTGGTTGTCGATGATCCATTTACAAGCTTTTTCCATTGCAAAAAGTTCGGCCTGGAAAACTGAGCAGTAATGGTGGAGTTTTAGTTTTTTGATAGTACGGTCGTTATTTGGATGTATTACAACATACGCGGCTCCTACTCTGTCATCGTGTCTGCTTCCATCTGTATAAATTTGCCAATATTCCTTAGTATTTAATTTATCTACATCTTCAGCGGAGGAAATTTCTTGAAAATTGATGGAGGGTCTTAAAGATGGATGGAGAAGTTCTATTGTGGATGCGGGAGTTTCTATAGAGACATCTTCAGGTATAACTGTTGTGGTACCAAGAATTTTAGTTCTTTCAGTATTAGCTATTTCTGTTATTTTAGCTGTCAATGGTATTAATTGAGCTAGACTAATAGATATTGGAGTACTGATAGTACGAAAGCCTTGAACAATTTTGATCGCAAAGAGCCGTTGTATGGAAAGTAGGCGTTTTCGAACACATTTATATTTGAGTGCTCCAGACCAAATACTAGCTGCGTAAGAAATAATGGGTTCGATGACTTGTTTATAAATTATTTTGATATTTTCTGGATGAATTCCCCATGTGGGTCGTACAAAGGTGACAATTTTGTAAAATATTTTTTTAACTTTATCTATCGCGTGTTGAGAATGCTTAATGAAATTTAATCGTTTATCGATAATAATCCCTAGATATTTAATTTGATCTACAAAGGCTATATTATTATTTTGTCCATGAACTTTAATTTTACAATATTCTGATTTGTTAGTAAATCCAATTACTTGTGTTTTAGATGGTCCAAATTCTAATTTAACGCTCTCACCCCATTCTAAAATTTTATTTAGTGCTAAGTTGGTAGATGATTCTAGATGCTGAATGTTATGTGAGTGAACAATTAATAAAACATCATCTGCATATGCTTGGAGGTAACATCCGGAAGGCAATGTATTACTGCGAGCAATATAGATGTATAGTATTTTCCAGTTTTACAGTTGTTAATTATTATGCTCAACGACTGCAAATTCCAACAAAGTTCAGTTTTGGGATGCAAATGGTGTATTGATAATGAAATTAACGATAAGCAATATTGAGATCTTGAACCTGCTTAATACCGGTTTTCCAAATAAAAGTACAGCACAGAGTGGACACATTTCAGTGCAATGCGACATACGAGTGCATTTCTTTATTGCAAAACGGTTTGATAACTCGAATTCAGGCGATTATAAAAATCGCCGAATTTTAATTATCAGTATCAGTTCACCACTGCACTTCACAAGGATAACAGTAACAATGTTCTTTAAGGTAATTGAATAAATTGGAAATATTTTATTATTCGACTTCAAAGAAAGGAGGAGGTTCTCAATTGGATATAATGTCCTAATAAATCAATCTGAGGAACTACACCAAGTGTTTTTACATTAACTATCATGTGTGTCCCAAATGGAAATCGAACCCACAATTTTTAGTTTAGAGACATCAAGGTCTGTGACCATTGGACACTGGTAAAATAATGCGTTTTATTCTGTCAGGTATTGTGCATCTCCGCTCTGGTAGCCGCAGTAGCTGCTCAGTCCGACCACGGCCACCACGAGCACTACCACGCATACTCCGCCCAGCACATCTCGCGCCACGACGGCAAACCAGAGAAAGTCACAGTTGAAGTAAAAGACAAACACGGACATCATGAACTTCACTACGATTACTATGTAAGTACGCCCTTATATAGAGTATCAGTAAAATATCCTTATTTACAAAAATAAAAAGTTAACGATACAGGACACGGCGGACATGAATATAATAGAATAGAATTGAATAGAAAACTTTTTATTTGCAAGAAAGGTATACAAGCAGGCAAGAAATAGATTAAAAGAGAGAGAAATAAACAAGTGGACAATTAACTGCTTGTGCCCATCTGACAAAAAGGGTGACCGCCAGGGCTTGTCTTGAAACTGATTTTTAGCGGGGCCCTCTGTTGTCACGGCGGTCTTGCATCTCCGTCAGCAGGGGTACTGCTGACGGAGATGCAAGAGGAGAAACATGAACACCACTATGATTATTATGTGAGCATGTTACTCACCCAGCCAAAATCGTACACGTTAACTTTCAAAAGAACAACAATGTTCTACGGAGTAATTTTTTTGATCCAACACAATGATTGATATTGTTGGTCCACCAGGCTCACCCTAAGTACGAGTTCGAGTACAAAGTAGAGGACAAGCACACCGGCGACCTCAAGAGCCAGCACGAGACTCGCGACGGAGATGTCGTAAAGGGCTACTACTCTCTGCACGAGCCTGATGGTTCCGTCAGAGACGTCCACTACCACAGCGACAAGCACACCGGGTGAGCTTACAAATTATAACAAACTTAATCAATTAGATCTTATATCTAAGATTTGACTTATCAGTCAAAATAACCGTTTGTAGATTTAGATTTTCGATTAAAAATGCACTTTCTGGTATCGGTGCTGCAGCGTACAAATTTAAAAATAAGATTTCTTGACTTGTTTTATGCATTACCTAAAAAAAAATGAATTCAAATACATACTAACATGTTTTTCTTTTTACAGATTCGAAGCCGCCGTCAAGCACATCACCCACCACCATCACCACTAATGTGTATCAAATGTTACGATTATTTTGTATGTTGCATCTTAGTTTAAGTGTTGAATGTTGATAGGTATAATAAATGAATATTCTCTAGTATTTCTTTGTATTATTCAATTAAGCTCCTTGAATAGAAGAAAAAGTTTTAAGAGCTCGATGTTTCCAATGGCGCTCTCGAACGGTAACTAGGTATAAACTATAACCGGTGTTTTTGTATGGAGATTGACAGATTTTTGATGGTTGTCAAAGTTAAAGTACTACTGTACAACCTGTATTAGAAACGCAAGTTCATCGGCTTAAACCAAAGAAGAAGAACCTGTATTAGGTTATTTGGGGATCGGGCATAATAAGTTATATTTTAAAATGTATTACATAGTTTGTTGGTTTCTATAAATAAATTAACGCAAGTAAATCATTACATAGTATAAAACAAAGTCGACCTATGATATAAAAGGTTTGTGAAAATATCAGTAATTTTAATGTTTTATGCCCAAATAACGAGAGCTATCATTTTAGCGTTCACCAGTTGGCACCGCTGTAGAGTAGGTCACTGTCACCTTGTTAGTAGCGAAGACAGTGGCGCTAATTAACGACCGTATTCACAAACTTTACTATGAGATCTTACAGTGCACAGCGCTATTCAACGCTGTGCGTTCGATTTGGTGCATCACATAAGCCAACATCATTTGTGAATACGGACGTAAGTGCTGAAGTGGTAGGAGGGCTGTCGCATTTACCCTAATCAGGATGGTGCCAGTGTAGAGTCATGTTAATCGCCAGTGGAGCTAACTGTTTAGTGTAGTACGAGTAACAATAGCCCTTAATGAACTAAAAGTAAAATTGGAAACTAGTGTACAATTTTTTAATTTGTGAATGTATGGTGTATGTTTTGTTGGTTGTCCTTAAATAAATAAATAAAATAAATAAATTTCGGAATCTTTATGAAAACTGTAGGACTGCCAGTGCCTGAGTTATGTAAATTCCATGAAATTTTATTCAACAAATTTTTTCATAAATCCTAGGTGCATTGCATTACCCAAGCCGTATAAGGCCTTCTTCTGTCGAGTATTTTCAGTTCTTACATTTGGGAAAAATAATTTATACAAAACGTCCAATATGTTTTACAAAATAAGTGATGAATTTTGTGACGAAAGTTATTATGCCGACAACATTTTTTGAGGGTTAACTTGAGCCGTCCGATATTTTCCTAGCATAATAACATTATTATCTAAAACGGATTTTTTCCCATCCATCTAGGAGGAATTATTTTAATTACATTGAAAAAGTTCTGACTTCTGGTTTTCGATTAAAATTGTCGGGTTGTTGAAATTGAAGTGTCCGTTTATAAATTTAAATTAAAAAGTTAACTAAATATGTGTACGGTGCGATTATTATGTAAAAAAATACTATTTATTTGTTCACTACTTACTGCAAGCTGAAGTGGCAATGGACAGGGCATATAGTACGCAGAACTGACGGCCCATGGGGCAGCAAGGTTCTGGAATGGAGGCCGCGTAGGTACCGGAAAACGCAGCGTGGGACGTCCACCTACAAGGTGGACCGGCGACATCGTAAAGGTAACAGGGAAGCGCGGGATGCAGGCCGCTGCCAATCGATCAACGTGGAAAGCATTAGGGGAGGCCTATGTTCAGCAGTGGACGTCCTATGGCTGAAATGATGATGATGGTGATGATTATTTTTGTTCTTATCTAATGCTTGTCTCAGAAATGGCTAGACTATTATTTATGAATTAACTTAAGCCTCTACTTGAGGAAGGCTATTAATTTTGTCTGTGTTTAAATCTGGAACTAATTGGTAGGATACGGTACTACAATATTTCTGATATCAGTTTGTTCAAGAAGGTTGTTTTTATATGAAGTTTATCGCACATTACAATATGTAACAAAGAACATTTAGCATTAGTTTAACTGTGCTGAATAGTCTGCTCCTGGATGGGCAATACTATAAATTAAGACGAAATAAATTATTGCAATATGTTAGAAAAATTCCTTCACCCATATTCACAAACGATGCTTGCTTAAGTGAAACAGCAAATCGAACGCACAGCGTTGAATAGAGCTCTGTGATTGGTTCGTGTGTCACCCTGTGCATCCACGCGCACTGTGAGACCTCATAGTAATGTTTGTGACTACGAGCGTTACTTATTATTATTCTGTGGTATAGGTATGGCAGCCTGCCTGCCCCTAGATGGGCAAAGAGGTTTAGTTGCCACCTAATAAAAGAGAAATAAATTGTGAAGGTCGCATACGACCAAACTTCATGACCGCGCGTCTGGCCAGCAAGAAACTTTTTTCTAAATTAGTGTTCTTTTCGTTTGGCAATTGTTTCCTAATTTTTTTCGAGCAAGATGCAAAACAAAAAAGTTAATGTTATTTGATAAACATTAATAATTATTTTGTACCTATTTTAATTTTTGCAATCAAAGCTAAGGTTCTTATGAATTTTTAAAAGGTATCTCATAATGGGTATAGTTGTATTCGTTACGTTGGTGTACTAATGTTTTATTTAGCAGTGTGTTATTTTCAGATATGAAATGATACAAAGATGTAGACAAATAATAACAAATTTATTTACAAACTGTTGTATTTATTAATATTGAACCCTATTTACCGATTCAGCAGATTTACACTAGTATGTAGTTACGTCTCTAGTTAATAGACAAATCGCTCTATGTCGCCATCTTGTTGTCTGTGGTAATCTCTCTGCAATAAAACTGCGTCTGCTAAATTTAAACTATTTTTATTTAAATTCATCAGGTTATGGGCCCAGGCCACCTGATTTTTGCATAAAAGTGAACAGTAGAATAAAACAAATAGTTTATCAGCTAGCAAAGTGAGAAATANTGAATTTCGTTGCGGGTCCAATAACAGTTTAACTTTCCCCCGGGACAAACTTGACCTTCATTGGTTGGGTTTTTGTGGCGGTCAAGCTGTAGATGCTGGCTACACAGGAGTTGCAGTGGTGGGAACGAGAGGTGGGAATAGTCCCGTTCCGGACGTTCCCGAGCACTTTGGTGCTAAATGATGACCAGGGCACTGAGATTGAGACACAACTAAAAAGTGTAAAATAACATTATAATAAAAAATAACTTTTTTAAAACAAGCTTTATCCTGAAATGCAGTTGTACTAAAAAGAAAAAAATAATTGTATGCTAGGTTCAAAGAATTTCGAAAGCTTGTAACACAAACAGAAAAAAAGAGAAATAAATTCCATGCGCTATACAGACTTAATGAAATAAAAGTAAATTGGAAACTACATACCTATTTAGGCCCGGTTTTTTGATTCGTAGTTAAAATAACCAATGGTCTTGATATATGTCAAATGACAAGTGGTGACAATGACAATGGTTCGCTTGAATTCTACATTTTTTAAACTATTTGTTTACATTTTGTTAATATTTAACCATTAGTAGAAAATTTAACAATTAGTTATTTTAAAACTAAGAATAAAAAAACTGGGCCTAGGTGTAAATTTTTTTCATTTCGGAATCTTTATGAAAACTGTACTACCTGAGTTATGTAAATTACATGAAATTTTATTATGTTAATATGCCGACAACATTTTAAGGGTTAATTTGAGCAGTCCATTTTTTCCTAGCCAATATATAGGTATCTAATGTCTCAAAATTACAGAGAACTTGTTCGGCAAATATAATAATAATTAAATCAAAATAATGTTCTTTGTATAGCATTATTTCTTAAAGTTGAACTGAAATTCTATTTTGCGTCTTTTCTAACACTTTATGCCGTTCAATAATGCAGTCCTGACGATCGACCGACATGAGTCAGCGACTTTTCGCCGACAAACAAAAACGGTGACAAGATTCTGAAATAAGGCCGCCGACACCAAGTCGCCGGACTTGGTGTATTATCTACAAGTGAGATGGATTTAAAAAAAATGCAGGATGAATGTTAAATGTACCTTACTGTCACCTTTTTTAACCGACTTCAAAAAAGGAGGAGGTTATTTAAAATAAGTTATATTATGCAAGCATTTATAGGGCTTGCGATTCGACTCAAGTAGGTATGTCACATCGCCTGCAGAAGNGCGCATCGCAGCAGCCTTGTTAATTTCAGGCTTATCAAGTTGGGCGGGCAGACGGCGCGAAAACCGTTGCTCGTGTGTGCTTCGCTGTGGTTTCGCTCACAGTGAAATGTTACAGTACGTAAACCACATTTAGAATGAAAACTAAGAGTGAATATCTTATTGAAAATTGATATAATTGCACCATCACTGAACACCTCGGTTAACATTAAGTACCTATGATTGTACCTATTACCGTAACGGATTGAGGTTAATCTGTGACAACGAATACTGTGAAATAATTTGGAAGTGACTGATTTTATGCAAAAACTTTATTCAATCTGGAACTAGTTAGTGACATCATTCGGAACTTCACTAATCTATCTGAATCTTATTGATGAAGATGTTAGAGTCTCTAGAGGTAGACATGAATAAAATCATACTTTATAGTAATTTCATAAGGTACCTACTACAGATTTCGTTGCTAAAAATAACCAAAATCTGCCTGACTACACGATGAAAGTCACTGACCTTCGTTACCGAAATAAATTTTTGACAGATGGCCTTTTTGTCACTTTAAGCTTACTGTCGAAAAGCAAAAGCTTTCCATATAAATTGGCCGTAAATTANTATTTTCTATCGCAGGGCCCCGCGAAGTACGAGTTCGAGTACAAGGTGCACGACGCCCACACCGGCGACATCAAGCAGCACCACGAGTCCCGCGACGGGCACAAGGTGGAGGGCGCCTACAGCCTGCACGAGCACGACGGCTCCGTGCGCACCGTCAAGTACCACGCCGACAAGAAGACCGGGTAAGACGACAACAAATTCATCAATGAGGGTTTTCGCGAATGAAAGATCCGCTAGATGGCGGGACGTGGATGTGGGGTCTGACTGCTGCGTGATTGGTGGATTTTGACATCAATCAATCAATCATGCAGCATTTGGACCTCGCGTCTACGTATTGCCATCTAGCGGATCTTTCATTCGCGAAAACCCTCATTTCAAGCAAACGCTATAAAACAATGGAGCACTTTCGATAGAATTCTTGTATTGATTGAATTTAAGAAAGTTGTTGAATCCTTCCTATAACAAACAAAATAGACTTTACCTACAATATTCAGATTATAATGTAAGCAACTTAAGGCGCTTAGCCTAATCAATATTTATTTTAATTCCAGATTCAACGCTGAAGTGAAGCACACTACCAAACACGTTGAAGAGAAACACCACCACTAAATTGAAAACAATGACGTACATTTAAAATGATGTTGATGTTATATTTATTTTCGTTATTTAGTTTTGATGATAATAAAAAACATGAAAATATTACACGCTTATTTTTATTAAAAGATATTATCATCATAGAAATTACAAAGAACCTTTCAGATCAAGATGAAAGTACTTTTTAATCTATTTCTTACAAATAAAAGACGAACGTTCTCTATGGTAATGGATGGTATGAAAAATGCTTAAATAGTATTTATGAACTTATTTTATATTATGTACCTATTTTGTATAAAATAACTGTAGATGCATTAGAAAAATCTGGTGTCAGACTTGAAGAGATGGCTTACTCAAACCTTTGTAGTTTCGTTTTCATTCGCATAGGGTTAATTCGATTCAAATGCCATAACAAAGAAAGATACGTTGACTGACAACATTATCCTATTTTTAATTATATCAATTTGGTTTATTCGAAAATTAGAATATTTGTGTTAGGTATGTTTCGTTGTAGCTTTTCCTTTTCTCCCATAATCATGTCCTCTCTGTTTTTATAAACCGTCAAACATAGTATTTTTTACTGTCCAACAACTATAAAATTCCTGGAAACGGCGTCACTTCGAGGTGTATTGTGACATCACAAATAAATAATAACAATAAATCTTTAGACAATTTCACACAGCGCCAGGCCAGGTAGCCCCAAAGTACCTAAGCAACTTAATGCTTGTGTTATGGGTGCTAACTTAACGGATATACTACTTTGTATACTTTTTTTTTAATACATACATAGTTAACACCCAGACCCGTCACAGAAATTTAAATTCATCTTTTCAATTTCTGCCCGGCCGGGAATCGAACCCGGGACCTCTCGGCATAGTAGTCCTTTCTGAACCACTACACCAAACGGCCGACAAACTAGTTAGGTAATTACAATACTATACGGATTGTATTTACGTACCTATCTATGTATCTAAGTAAACATGTGGGTCGCTCAAGTCTTAGGATAGAGCCTTACTTGATTCATTTGCAATCATTAATAGTTTCGATATCAACCTTTCACTAAGGGCTTGTTCCCACGGATCATTCCGTTTTTGCAAGAACTGTTTTTTGCAGGATCCCGTTTGACGTTCACTCGAACACAGGGATGTTCGAGTGAACGTTATTAATTCAATTGAATTTGATTCGAATTTGAAACACAAAATGTGTTCACACAACAATCAAAGCAAAACTGAATTACCGAGAAAACGAACCCTTACATTAAAATAAATTGTACTCGAAATAAATTTCGAACATACAGTCGAATGTTTTAGAATTCAGTGTGCCTACCATGAGTTTACGTTAGGTGAGCTCGCTAGCGAATACGTCAAAAAATTCTATGAAGATTTTATTTCTTGAAAGTAGCCGCTAGGGGCGCTGCACAATATGTCATACATTTAAATGTCATTTTTTTACGCAGTCGCTAGCGAGCACACCTAACGTAAACTCATGGTAGGCACACAGCTGAAACTTAAACAAACATGGCCAACTGACATTAAAACATTTTTAATCTGTGCCCTAGTGAGACGACAAAACCTCTCGTTAATTGCGAATTGAAATTATTGTAGTACTTACGTACCTATAGAAATAATTTATAATGCTTTAAAAAACATTTTCATGTATAAAACCGAGACAGATTTCACTGATATAATTTTAAACATAACAAGAATTCATTGATTAGTCGAATTAGCATACTTAGTACAAAACACAGCACAAAATAAATAGGGACCACTATTTACTGTAGTCAACTTAAAATGTACCAATGTAAGTAGATTTTTATTATGATAGAGGCCGGTAGATCTATTCTCATACATAAATCACTGGATACTTAACTTTCACAATATAGTTATTGTCTCATATTAAATGCAATTTGCTTTTTGCATTATAACATAACACCAAAAGCGCGCGTCGTCACCGCGCGTCCTCTATTCTTTTTTTTTAATGCATAACAAGGCAGGTATTTGACCACAATCGCACCTGATGTTAAGTGGGATGCAGTCTAGGATGGTACATATCTGCCCTGTAAGCTTATTCACTCTCGCCTTGAAGAGGCCCGGATTATAGTTTTCGGGAAAGACAGCAGCAGGCAACGAATTCCAGTCCCTAGCTGTTCGCATTATAAAAGAGTCATCGAAACGCTTATTTATTTATTATTTATTTTTATTTATTTATTATTCATTATTGAGCAATTACATATTTGATCCAAATAGCGTCCTAAATCCTTTTTAGGTTTGTCTAGACACTATTGTTCTCTATACAAATAAAAACAAACGTTTTAGTATAAGCATTCACAACACTTTCAGATATACAAAATATTATTTTAGCGAGTGCGCACTACGATGACGAAAGACTCGACGTTCGATCGCGATCGCAGACCGGTTGGTGGAATGTCAACAATATAGGGATGGTACGCTAACCTGCGCTGGTTCCCCGATGATGGAAGGGGGCTGGTGGAATTAATTCGTGTAATTCTTTCGCACATTCTCCGAAGTGCAGCCTGTAGAAAACCGATAGGGATGCTACCTTACGGCGATGGTCAAGTTCCTGGAGCGCCGCTTCAACAAGGACTTATTCTGACTTTTCTAGTTATTTTAACGTTTTAGATTTTTCACAATAACAGTAGATACTGATTTTCTACTGAGCATCATGGTATACTTATTTAAATAAACATAGCCTGATGCTTAATTCTGTTTGATGGCCTGTACGGAAGACCGAAATGTTATAGAGGTAAGTTACGACGAAGTCAATTTCTTTGCACCTACGACAGTTTATAGAGCTGACCACGTCTCGTTGCTCTCTGGCTCTCCACAGTGCATAAAGTGGTCAGTTTACTGTCAGTCATAAGTGCAGAGAAATAGGCTCACTTCTGTTACAACTCCACTATGTACCAGTTTTATTCATATTCGTTGGATTGGAGATGATTTTGAGTATTTTTTATAAAAAATAATAGGAACATATTCATTTAAAACTTTTTATTGTCATTAGTAAAGACTAAATAACAAAAATAAATAAGTTAAAACTACATCGACGTCCATCTAGGTAATTTTGTTCGATTTAGTGATGGTGCTTCTTCTCTTCAACGTGTTTGGTGGAGTGCTTCACTTCAGCGTTGAATCTGAAATTATAACAAAATTGTATTAGATTAATTAGGTACTAATACAAATTTTATTGAAGACTTTACAATATTTACTGTTATTATGTCAGTGTAATCTTTTGAGGATGCTGGGTTAATACAGGATTAAAAAAATAATTATTCCATTGTCACCAAAACATCCCACTACTACAAATTCTAGTACAGTTACGAGAGTACAATATATTGTTTTGTTTCAGCTTTCGCCTGTGAGTCATGATTATTAGCTTATCGTCTTACCCGGTCTTCTTGTCGGCGTGGTACTTGACGGTGCGCACGGAGCCGTCGTGCTCGTGCAGGCTGTAGGCGCCCTCCACCTTGTGCCCGTCGCGGGACTCGTGGTGCTGCTTGATGTCGCCGGTGTGGGCGTCGTGCACCTTGTACTCGAACTCGTACTTCGCGGGGCCCTGTAATAGTAAAATATTGTTCCCATTTGACACCCAATATGATATTTAACGATATTGGTTGTATCAACTTTTTGGACATTTGGTTATTTGCATTATTTTATAGAACTTACATCGTATTTGTGGAAGTCCTTAGGGGGATGAGAGGGCACGTCGTGGCGCTCAATGTGGGTATAGGAGACGGCTGGTTTATGAGAGTGCTTGTGCTCAGCCTCGTGTTTGTGTTCCTCGTGCTTCACTGCGTGTTTCACTTCGTGCTTCACCTCGTGTTTCACTTCGTGCTTGTGTTCCACATGCTTGGGTTCTTCATGCTTGTACTCTTCATGCTTGTGCTCTTCATGCTTGGGCGCTTCATGTTTGTACTCATGCTTTACTTCGTGCTTGATCTGGGTGGAGTAATGATGAGCAGCATTGCAAACGCCTACAAAGGCGATCACGGCAAGGACCTGCATTGGAAAGGAAAACTTATAACAGGCATATTATTATTTTTTGTTTCTCAAAAGATAAAAATGACACTTGGTTAATTTTAATCGTGCTAAGTTCATGATGTAATAAACAATATTTTTTTAAATAATACCTCTAATTTGAAAATAATTTTTAATTACCTTAGTGAGATACATTTTAATTTTTTGTGTTGTTGGATTGAACAGCGTTCTTTAACTGATGCTGAAATTGAAATTTGTCCCCAATTTATACATCAGTGTCAATTAAAAATTAAATGTAAGTATAGTACGGAGCCGTTAAATACTTTTACCCAAAACTTTCAAGACGAAGGCCGCACACTCCCTTATTGGCGATGTGGTTGTAGTGTACCTACATTAGGTAGTGATTATTATATTTTTAACTGCATTAGATGCCTTTTTTTCAACTAAAAGATGTTTAATAAGTACAGTTCTATGATGGCATTTGCTATTGTTAACAAATATTTAGAGATTTTATTTTATTATTTATTTAGGTAGGTACAGCAACAGAATAGTAATTAGTGTGATAAGAAAAGGTACATCAAATATAATTTTTGACCCAAGCTAGGCAAGATTAATCTAAGATCTAATGAAAAGCTCTGAAACTAGTGGTCATATCATCCCGATTTCACGATTAGAAATGAGCAGATGGTCTTTCAATACTTTCTTATTGGTCAGTTTTATTGTTATTCAATATATCGTACGTAATGTACTTTTAATTTCCATTTTGGAAGGAAACATATTAGGCATTTAATTCACAGAGTAAAGAATTGGTTTTCTGTTTGAAATAATTTATTGCATTAAATAAGTAACATAACATTCAACAGTTGTATTTATAACTGGTATAACATTGTCTTAAATTAGTCCGTATTCATTGCAAAGTTTATTGATGTTTGTGTTCTTCAGTGTGGTGGTTGGTGGTGTGCTTCACTTCAGCGTTGAATCTGTAAAATAGAAAATTTTTAGTTATGTAACTATTTAAGACAAAGCTGTTGGGCCCGATTCTATTTTGTATGAAGAATCGGCCGATACCAAATCGGTGTAATGTGCATGTACGTCCATACTGATGAACAGCCCGACCTAACTATCAGCCAACTAAAAGTTGGTGGTCTGCGCCTAGGCTTAATGTTGTTATAATGGAACAATACAGGGTGTCTAATGTTTATGATTTTCAACCGACTTCAAAAAAAGGAGGAGGTTCTCAATTCGACCCGTATGTTTTTAGAAAAAAGATTTCGAGGACAAAACTGTCATACCCAGCCTTCTTGTCGGCGTGGTACGTCACAGTGCGGACGGAGCCGTCGTGTTCGTGCAGGCTGTAGACGCCCTTAACCTCGTGCCCATCGCTGGTCTCGTGCTGTTCCTTGTAGTCGCCGGTGTGGGGGTCGTGGACCTGGTACGCGAACTCATACTTGGAGGGAGACTGTGAAGAAAATAATTGATTGTCGTGTCGCCCTCTATCGGTTTGAGGGATATTATAATAGCAAATAGTACATAACTGGAACCTCTATTCGGCTACTTTCTTCAGTTTAATTAGCTTTATTTTGAATTCATTTTTGTTTCTGAAAATATGTGCAAGGTATAGTTTTGAAAAGCTAATTTGAAACTGGATAATGACGCTCCATTAATTTCAAACCCTGAGTTTTGCTAAATCGGGTTATTTAAATTAGTTTAATTTATTTAATAAACAGTCTTAATTTTCCATGACTGCTACAAGTACGTATCACCAAATTAATATTCTGCCACGACACCACTCTAGTTTTCATAAAAATCACGACAGCATGAGCTATCTGATGTTTTGCGGTGACGACTCTTCAATTAAATAGGTGATTATTATTTGTACTGTGCCTATACTTACGTCATACTTGTGAAAGTCCTTAGGGGGTTCCGCGGGCACATCATGGCGCTCGATGTGGTACGAAGAGAAGGCTGGCTTGTGCTCATCGTGCTTATGTTCTTCATGCTTGTACTCCACAATCTGAGGCTGTTCATGTTTGTATTCTACAATTTGGGGTTCTTCATGTTTGTATTCAACAATATGGGGTTCTTCGTGGTGATCATCATGGTGGCTCTGTACCACGTAGTGAGTGACTGGAACCACTTTAGTGATCACGTGTTCTTCTTTGGTCTGAGGCTCGTGGTGGATATCGTGGCGCACGATGCTTTGGGAAGAGTATGCGTGATGCTCTTCAGCCAGGCAAGCGCCCAGGACCGCAAGGAGGGCTATGGTCTGTGCAAAAGAAGATTATTAGTTTTAACAGATTCTCTTCTCTATATCTAACAGCTTTTTGAAACTATGATATTGCTTTGTTAAGCAACTTAGTAATCGGAATACTTAGATGGTACTGAATGCCATATTATGCCACTGTCGCACACACAGTGTCTAGCTGTTTTCAGGGTGCGCTTTTACATAGAAACACAATAATTGCAGATAAAACAATATTTACTCTATTTACCTTGACGGACATCTTTCTTGGTTCCAGATGTATGTGGATGAATGAATTGAACACTTAAAGTGATACCATTGTAGAGCAAAAGCTTGGTTTTATACCCTTTAGCCCTGGCAATTTGTGATGATTAGTCATCTTTATTACCGGTTTGTTTTAACTTTACCCCAGTTTTCCCTAAAGGTCAGAAAAATCAGGGCAATTTTTGCCAGTCTTACGACTTAATTAGCACTTAATGTACCTTTATTATGTCATTTTGCTTACATTGAGTGCATTTTTGTTTCAACTTTATGTAATGTAGCAGCAAAAGTACGTCTGAACTAATTGATTTATAGACCGCTTGATTTACCATTGTCTAGTAAAATAAAATAATTACTCTTTTGATAAATATGTTATCATAGAGCATACCTATTTTAGATTATTATAATTCCTGTGATGTATTTTAACATAAAATAAAACATGGAAGGCACTTACTTAAATTCTGTTTTATTATACTGGCAAAAATGTTGAACATAAAAACAAAAAACCAAATCAATAAGAGTAAAAGTGTTGTAAAATTAAAACCGAAGAAACGTGGGTAAACTGGTACAACACCTGTTCCATGCAAGGTCGTACTTTCGTTCACGCAAAAAGTATATCACACATAAATTATAACCAGTTTCGGTTGTTTTACATTGTTATTGCAAAAATTTGGATTTCGAAGTTTTTACTGTATTCGTATAAAAAACAGCTAACGCATTGTAAAGGTATTAGTTTGATTCGAACATTGAAGTGGTCAATAATCAATTAAGAATTACTTTAGAGACCATTTTTAAACTCTGCCACAATGCTTTTCAAGGTAAGCGTTTTTAACTTGAATTGAAGTCATTTTCTCTTGATTATAGGTGCTTTTAAAATAGTGTTTTTTTTTATAATTAAAAACTTAAATCAATAGAATGTCTTTCTGCAAGTATTTCATTTAGATTAAATCGTAAGTGAAAGTTTACATTAAACCGTCCAAAACAAAATAATTTTACAATTCCAGTATTGGGAAATTACGAGACTATCTAACGCCCGTATTTACAAACCATGCTTGTATAAGTGAAGCAGCAAATCAAACTCACAGTGTTGAATAGAGCTCTGTGATTGGTTCGTGTGTCACCCTGTGCGCACTGTAAGACCTCATAGTAATGTTTGTGAATACGGGCGTCAGATAGAATGTAATCTTTACATTATGTATCCAATTCTTTAATAATCTTGTAGATCTTACTTGCCGCATCTCTCGCTGTCGCGATGGCGCGCCCACAAGAAGGCCACGGCCACGAACACGAGCACGGACACGACCACCACGTTGGCCATTATGTAAGTATCTCGTTTATTATTTTTATCTAATAAATCCATCGGTTTGTGTTAAAAGAAGAGTCAACAATTAGTGAGCAGAGTGGGGTAAATAAATCGATGAAATAAAAACAACACTCCAGCTATTTCTATGTACAGTCACGGAATGAAAAGGTTCGTCAGTTTTCAAATTGATTCCTTCAACGAATCGCGAGCACATATTACCTTTTGAAACTATATTACAGAATAATCTCGAGTTAGAGAAAAAAATCTTTAACTGTTCGTCAGTAAAGTTCAAAATTATTCAGATCAAAGTTTTTATCTTGTCAAGAAGATTAGATTGATAAACTACTTATAGATGACCCACGCTGAACTGTCCCACCAAACTCAATGACAGTGGGGCGCTACCATCGTTCAACTATATGGTTTCCAACATGGCAAAAATCGGAACCAGCGATTCGGTATTGACGGTGGCGCCCCACTGTCAATCTCATTGATAAGACAATTCAGTATTTTGGAACTATAAAACCTTCTTGTTGGTTCAACCTGCCATTATTATTTCTATTAAATAAAAAAAACTATTGTCAATTGGTCAATGTCATCCATCATTGCATTGCACTGATGGGATAGAAAAATAAACAAGCAAAACCTTATTCGTTAGCAAACGTCATATTTATTTAAATGTTAGCAGCACTGTTTCTTGCACTGTTATATTGGCAGGTTTGACTCTTACAGTACCTAGTGCAAGCGAAAACCGACACTAAGGTGACGAACCTTTTTATTCCGCGACTGTACTATAGCGTAAAGCAACAAGAGTTGTTTGTACCACTG